CATGGAAGTACTCTGTGACATAATTTTATGGTGTTATGACACGTGCCTTATTTATGGTCTGAAATCTGTTCATATTTAGTAAATTTTTCTAAAAATGGTCTAAAAAGTGTCACCTCTTAATCTGCCTAATCTCCACCCTTCAGAAAGGACTGACAAAATAAAGGGAAAATAAGTTAAACACAATAGTTTAGGGGCTGAAAAAGTGATGAAAAGACTGATAAATCTGTTGCCTCGTCGAAAACATGATGTTCATTAAAAAATAAACCACCACCAAGAAAGACATAAAACTGTATGGTACCCTTTGATAAATCTCACCCAGTCTTCTTAGAATGTGGATTTTGTTTTGTAAACACTTATTCTTACGTGTTTATATATGCACTTGCTGAATGAGGAGCATTTACCCTTAAATGTATTTTAGTTATTTCACTTTTATTAAAACTTGCTGCACTATTAAAAATTCTCCTTTCTTTTAACACAACAGGCAGTTGAAGAAGCACCAGAGATGTGGTGGGACCAACCTAGGACACGAATGTTTACTTACTAGCTTCTTGTGATAGTGAAGCGCACTGTGTGAGTGCAATCCATTTTTACTGCTTTTGGTACATTATAACATTGTTATAGTTATTTTATTTTTGCATACACTACATTTTAAATAGCATATTATAGGTATAAGACGTAGAGCTGGGGAAATTTACATTTTTGCTTCTACATTTGGGAGTATCTCTCACTTATACCGTAAGCTAGGTTTGTTGTCATCATTTTTGTATCACGGTTTTATTTCGTGTTTCCCATTGTACAGCGCTGTGGAAAGTGTTGGCACTATATATAAATAATAGTAATAATAATTAGTTGTACGTTTGCCCACTATTTATTTGAATTTTTTTACGTTTAACTAAACCAAACATACAGATCCACTGGATTTCATGCCAACATAGTAGATCAATTGAAACACAATCCAAACTTGACCCCATAATTAATGGACGGCAGTCGGATGAGGATTCTGGGATATGTAGCCCACCAACAGCTGATGAAGCAAGGTGGCACCAATTCCATTAGAAACATTTAACAAAACATGCATTCCACTTTCAACATGTCAAGTTGAACAATAAACTAGTGTGTGCATGTTTTCATGTAATGAAAATGGGAAAGAAATAACTAAATACATAAAACCTGAAAATGTCCATAAAACACAACACAAACCTACTATACAAATAAGCACTTAATCTGAATTGTCAAAAATATATTTTTGACTCGTATTCTCCTCTAAAAATTTCTGAATTAACAGTCCCTAAAGTGTCTATATATATATATATATATATATATATATATATATATATATATATATATACACACACACACACACATATATATATATTGTTTATTTCAATATAGAAACACTATCCAATATGTATGCATTTTCATATAACGCATATTCATTCATCATAAATATTTATCTTCTTCAGCATTAACAACAGTTCTTGCATGCTAGAATTCAAATATGAGCTCTTGTAATTTCTATACAATTTAGAGCACAGAGTATACAGTCTGAATATTGTTATTGTATAATGTATAATAATATTATTACACACATTTTTTTACATATTGTATTGCTGGTGTTGAACAAAAAATTAAGTGTGTTTTGTCATCAAAATGCATAGTAGAAAAAAAAAAGTATAATTCATAGAAAATAAATTAAAACGAGAAATTAAAAATGTAAATATGAGAATTAAAAATGTAAATATCTATAAGCGTGTAAATACTTATATGGTGTTAAATTAGACAAAAAAAAAGCAGGAAAAAACAACAACAACTATCTGAGATCAACCAGGGTTAAATCATCCCAATAAATATATGCATTTAATTATTTATATTTGAATTGATTTACAAATTAATTTGCTCAATGGCATCTTTATTACTAAATTTTTCCGCTGCATAGCTGGCCTTTCATTATAGTTGTCATTTCTGTTTGGTTTCTCTAATGGATGTACACAATCAACACAACTTGCGCTTGAAGACATTATTACAAATTGTCATGTATTTTTTTTAAGCCTCCAAACTCTGAAACATGTCATGAGAGATTTAAAAATAAATAAAAAGGGGAAAAATGCATTGTTAACCTCGAATGAAAACCTTTAGTAAAATATATTAAAAATGCATTTTAATCAGTAAGTTTCATACAGAATTAATGCCAACACCAGTAAACTTCACTTAATACATGGGCATTAAAACTGCAGGGATTTGACAATCTGTATGTTCTTTATTACCTATGATGGGAGTCTACTTCATCAAATATAAACTGATCATATATAGTCCTTTTATCTCAGATCATTTTCTCATGAAAAATACTATGTTTCAAGAGAGTCTGTTCATTATTGGAGGTAATTGCTTTGTGTAGGGGCATGTGTACTCGACTGCCTTTTTTATATACAATTAGCAATTAGAAAATTATTATATATAAAAGCGTGATTTAAAGCTGAAATAAAATCAGAAAGAAATGAAGATATGGTTTCAAGCACAAATGAAGCACTAGCAATATGTGGCAAATTACATGAAAGCGGACCTGAGGATAATAAGACATGGGCATTGGAATACTGCAAATATACCTCTGGGCATCTCTGCCTTAAATCACAAGAAAGCAATAATACTTGCATTCATTAAAAATAAAACAATAAATACTTTAAAATGTCTTCACATTGATTACTTAAATACTATAACCTCAAAAGACAATGTTTTCCTTGCGAAAAACATTTACAGATATACTTGCTGAGTAAACCTACAGAAAGGGGGCATGCAATGGAGTCATGGTGCATAATATGGGACAGATCTTTAAGGTTCTAATTCACTATTCTATCCGCAGAGAAGCAGCGCATGAGCATGAACATGCGGGCTAATAGTGAGGGTATAATAATTACATTGCTGTAAAGATATGGTTGAATGGTTTTATTCATTTACCCTACGTCTCTGTATATACATCCTTCCAATAAAAAACAAGACAAAAATAAAATAAACTCAATTTATTGTATGCCAGTGGGGCATCCTCTCAGCACAAGGCTCATTCTTGCAATACAGGTGTCAGGTTTTGCTAGATAAACCTGGAACAGGAAGCAGTAGATTTTAATTAAGGCTGAGCAGACACCCAAACAACAAGGGTTGCAAATTGCAGTCTTTGAATGGGTCATGTTTCAGTGATGGGAATAAAGGATGCTAAAGAAATGGGGGTGGAGCAGGGGGGTGGCCAAGTGTGTAAATAGGCCAATGAGAAGTGCGCCTCCCCCCTTCCTTCATGCTGTTGCTAGCAAATAGCTGGTTCACTAGCCTTGCACATGACTGCATTTGCTCCTGTCCATCAAGTGGGTCATATATAGTTCAAAGCAAGTGCAGTAGACAGGGAGAAGATAGTGCAGTTAAGTAGGAATTCCAAAGGGTTTCAGCCTGAGCATGCTACAGTACCAGCCAAATAATTCTAATTCCAACACAAGGGAAGCCATCTGCTCCTAAGGTTCCTTTTTTGAACTGCTTGGAAAAAGACCAGACCTGTCCATTTGCTGTGCTTTACTGGGGATCCCCTTCCTGTTGGGTGAGTATTTCCGTTTTTAGCTGCCTAAACTGCGCTAATTGTGAGACACCCAGAATTCATGTGGAGAGGTTTTGTCTGCTGTCTGCACATGGTTCCTTTGTTCTTTCAAGAGAAGATTTCTGTTCATTTATGTCGCTATAGATCTTGATAGCATGTTATTTATAGTAAGCGTATGTTATTTCATTATGTCTATTTACAAAACTTTCCAGTGTATAATTTCCTGTCTGGGATTGGTCACATTTTAAGTTAACACTAGATCTACCATAGCATCTTATGAATTGAAGTGGGAATGCAAGATAGGTGTGGATGTAACCAAATACTCTGCTAGCCGCAGGGCTGGCTGTAGTAGACAGGGAGGGACTGAGCCAGACAGGGGGGACAAAGCCACACCAAGCTAAACCCAGACAGTGTGTGTGTCCTGAAAGGTGGACAGAGAGGGGTCAACCGGCTTTTTGTGCACTTGAGAGAAACAAAAGATGCTACTGCCGTTTAACCACTATTATACTATAAAAAAAATAGAAAAGCTTTTTTGTGAAAAAAAAAGTAAAATGCAAGGGAGAATCTAATATGCAATACGCATTATTTTTATAAAACTCATTCTGTCCTGGCTAAACGGTAATTTACATCATGACAAACAGAAGATTCTGTACGTCATTGTTTTTTTAATTTATTTTTTTATTTTTTAAAATGTATTTTTAAACTACAGTTCATTGACTATTATAAAGATGATAGTTACCTTTAACTCAGCGTATTGCTTGGTAAATAAAAATCAAGCCATTATTTGATTACTATAACTACAGCAGTGGATTAAAATTACTATTATTAATAACTATTGAGCTATAGTGGCTGAAAAGTATTGGGAGTTATATGAACCCTAAGTATACTCTCAAATATTGTAAAGCGCTACAGAATCTGTTGGCGCTATATAAATGGCAATAATAATAATAAAGAATGTTCCACAATGGGAACAAGAGGTTCCTGATCACAAGGGATTGCTATTCAAATCCCGATGGAGGTGGTGTGTTGCAATGCTGTATTTTTAAGACTGTCTAGCAAACCTAAGGAGGCATTACTAGGTTACTAAACCATTAACCCCATGATTGCCGGAGGATACATCTCCGGCACTCAAAGTGTTAAACATTATGCTGGATGAAAATGCTGCCACTTAACCCTCACTGGGTTAATAAACTCAGCTGCTTGCGAACCAAAATATTAAGATCAAACAAAAAAAAAGGAAACTGTAAAAAAAAAGAAAAAGACAAAAAGTACAATCTCACAATAAGGAAAATACTGTCCCCTGATCCCCCCCTTCCTAAGAAGTGAGGAGGAATGTGTTAAGTGACAGGAAATGTTCCTAAACCTGCCCACACCCACCCCCTTCTGCTCTATCCTCCACCCCTCCAGTCGCGCCTGCTTTTGTCTACAATGATCCACACATTGCTAGTGCTTGAAGAAATGTCTCCCTTTAAGACACTTCACAGATAGACAGAATGCACTACAGCAGCTTAAAGAAAGACAATGACTCTCAAAATAACTGGAGACATGTGAGCTGCACTTGGATTCTAACGCTTAAAACAGGTAAGAGATCTGACTAGCTTGGAAAAACTGGGGACCTTCATGTTAAAATTCACAAGTTACCCCCTTGTGTAAATTAAGAAACTAAATAATCCTTGGGCTTTATTTTTAAATCATTGCACTTAAATTATTCTACAGGCTGGAGAGAGTGGGGTGTCACATGAGTGTCTGGCAAGGTACAGGTAATTTAAGTAAGGATACTAATTAGATGTACAAACAATTGGAATTGTAAGCAAATCACTGTATAAAGCAGGGCAGACATGATCAAACTCTATGAGACAAAGCTCACAGTTTGATGCGAACTGCACTCTCCTACAACCGAGCTAGAATTGAGAAAACAATACAGACAAATAGAAAAGTAATAGTAGTGCATGTATTATACAGAGCATATTTAGATTACATATTATATACACGTTACTTAATTATCTTTACAGATCAGATCATGGCCCTCCTTTTTAAAATCTAGTAAATATGTTAGAACAGGCATAGGCAACCTTCGGCACTCCAGATGTTTTAAACTACAGCTCCCATGATGCTTTGTCAGCATTGTAGATGTAAAAGCATTATGGGGGATGTAGTCCACAACATCAGGAGTGCCGAAGGTTGTCTATCCCTGTGTTAAAATCTTTAAACCAGGTGGATATGGTATCCACATGTTGGGCCAAACTGTTCTTTTAAGGTTGGGTTCTTTTAACATTGGATGTATGAATATTAAATATCAATAAACATACCCCTGTGCTAGTTATGAAGTATACTTCTAGGTAATGAATTGTACCTTTGTATCAATATTTTGGAGATACTTTCCCTGTCTGCAGAATACAAGTAAAACTGGTCAAACAATGTACTATTAAAGTCTTGCATCAAAATAGCTTTACAAAACACTGCAGGTGCTTTGGCAGTGCAAGGGTTAATAAATGCTAATATTCATAGTTAGGATTTGCTCTGCTTTACAGTCCTCTGCTAGTCCAGCATCCCTCACGTAGCCTCTGGAACAGTCCCTTTCATAGATCCAGCTACCTGGATTTGAATAGAAACCAGACAGCAATTCTTCAGACCCCGCCAGTCCTCCATCCTCTGGACAATAGAGATTTGTTAGCACGCAGCCACAATCTATAGGACACAAAGCTTAAAGCACCACAGACACAGGAGGGAGTGGGGGTTTTTCGACAGGAAATTACAGCTCTTTAATGCCCCAACTGCAGGTCTGCTACAGAAGGACAGCTCTATCTGTGCCATGTTAGGGAGGTAATTAACCCATGGAGGATCGGAACTATATTTTTGAAATGCCTTTGTGTTCTTATAGGTAGTAATCATAGACATTTATCCAAAATGCTATTAATGTATAAAATATTATTAGTATTAAGGATTTTTAAACATATTTCCAAAAACCTATTTAAACACAAATGAGAGTGCACAGTGTGACTTGCAAAAGCATTCATTTCCCAACTCAATAGTATTATAATATTAAGTTACATTAAAAGGTGTTTTCGTGTGTGTACACAGCAAGAAGGACAATTTACAACCCATTGTAAAAATATTGAGATTAGTTTCCAAAAAATCATTATAAACGTACATGTTATTTATTTCATAAACCCGTAAGAATGTACAGTAAATCATGACTATGGGAAAATTTACACTTTTCAACATCTAGGCCAGAACAGCCAGGTTGGTATTAAAAACAAAGACATCTATGTTTTGGAAATACGTTCCTAAAATGTGTATTTTTATAGTGGTTAAGTCAGTAAAAATGAATAAGATCCTGGTTAGAGTATGTAGTACAACACACATACATATAAATCTTTTTCATTTGTACTTTATTTCCTTACTGTAGTTTAGGATTATCATGTATTAGACTAGACTACGACATCAACATATATTTATTAGATACCGAGAATTCATTGTGTTTGAGAAAGAATTCAAAATCTAAGTGTCAGCACAAACCACTTGACGCATAAGTGCTTACGTTCTATTAAATGCTTAGTGTGAACACATTTAATTTACATAAATGATTTATATAATTTTATGAATTGCTTTATCACTGTATTTTGCAATAATGAAATATATGTTTACATTTCAGATATATGTAATATATGAAAATATTACACTTTTTATATATTTAATAATTTTCAGGTTATTTTCCAGTTTTTATAATATAGACAATCTGGTCAAAAGTAAAAACAACAACAACTAAAAAACATATTTACCAGGGCTTAACATGTCATGCTCTAAGCCACTACCTAGGCCTTAAGAGTTCCTCACCACTGCAAACCCCAAGAGCTCATGGCACACTCACCAGGTGTAAATTTCTACTCAACACTACATTTTCACTTGCCAATGGCTAGTGTAACTTTATGAGCCCTATATATATAATCCACATTCACACTTATATTAACATACATTCTAACATTCTAAATAGGCAAGTACCCATAGTACCGAAATGTGTAACCTTTGTGCCCAGCGTTTTTGACTATATCAGGTGCATCTCTATGTGTACAACAATACTTTAGATTCTTAATTTGAACATATTTGAAATATTTAGCAAAAGTAATATTTCAATATCATATGAATAAGAAAAAAAAAGAGAGAGCAAGAAGAGCAGTTCATTTAAGTCAATTTCCTGATTTGACGAAGGGCAGTGTAATAATAATAATGTATTATGTAACAAACCCATCATGTATAATCCATACATCATGCAAACCTCCTCTGGATACTCCAGGATACTTTACAAGGAGGATTAAATTATGTGGTTTCTAAATCTCTCCATCTATACAGACAGTATAGCATCTGTTATATTTGGATTTGTGATCTATGCAAGACATGCCTATGACTAGAGGTTAGAACAGTGATTGTTATACTAGGCAATATGTTCATGTTTGGGCTCTGCTGAGAAATATGTAAGCCATACATAACAATCTGCTATTGGAAGAGAGGAGAGTAAACAGACCACTTCCCTATTTAAAAAAAAAAACACTCTACCTGACCAGTACAATAAAAAAAAAAAAGAGATTCACAGAATGTTCTCCAATTCTGCAATGTAATTATACATAATATCACAACAGCTCAGCTGCAAAGGGACATCTGAGATTTTGTTGTTGGAGACAAATTGCCATATCCATGCCATATCTTTTCATAAAAGGAGTGATTTGGCATGTAGATATGCAGGAGCTTAGTTTTGCAGTTTAAATCACAGATATTACATTATATGTTCCTGAGACATCTAATGTCTGACTGAGGCCATTTGACCATGTGAACATGGGTGAACTAACAAAGGGTCAGAAGTAATTTGAAACAATATTCACCTAATATTTCTCTAGCCACCATAATAACAACAACAAAGTATTTAACCAGGAAAGGTAAATTCAGATTGCTCTGGTTTTCAAGTACGTCCTGGGGATGTTACTTTTACCCCACATCCAGGAGATGTTACTATTTAATGCTACTCATTTTATCTACTTTGGAAGGATTTGAACCTGAGACCAAGGGTTGAACAGATTCAGGTGTTGGGTCTCAGCTATCTCAACTGGCATTGTTAGGGCATTAAGGGGAAGTCAACAATGTAGGACAGTTTAAGGCTGGTCAAGGACAGGTGGTTTGAAATTGTCACCTACTTAAAACATTATAATCCTAGCATGGGTGAACAACCATTTGTGTTCAGCTTACCAAAGTTGTATGTGCTACAATAATTAGGTGTGCATGCTGCAGGAGTACATTTTGGGTGTGTACACAAAAAGCAAGAGTTTTATTTTAAAACTTAGTAATACCTATTCATTATTAGAGATAGAAATAAAGAATGCTCGCCATCTCCATGATCCTATTGTTCAGCGCAGTGGAATTTGTTTTTACAAATTTAGTTATCAGTGTTTCCAGTAATCACAATGGAACAGAACCGAGAGATGGAGGGAGGCAGGCAGCTGAGTTGAGTAACTATGAGAAACAAAATGGAAGTCATGCAAATGCATCTGTGAGAAGATAGCTATTGGCTCTTTGTACAAATAGCATAGTATACAGCAACCTGCAAACATATTGTGCACGCGATAACACATGGTTCAGCTACACTTTGCAGACAGGTAGCTGCATGATATTACAATAGCTATATTCATATTTTTCAAGTGATGAACTCACTTTTTGAAACCCAAAAGAATGTACTGTACACAAAGTTAAAAACGGAAACTTAAAAAAAGAGTCTTGATTTAACAGTACAGTACTTAAAAACATATCTAAATAGGCATAAAAGAAATTGGGGGAAACCATGTACACAATTCCCTCAATATTTCTGTATGTACCTTACCTAGAGCCAAAATTTCAAAGGACACCTACAGCTTTTTACTCTGAGATTGACTGCCCATGTCAGCCCCATTTAGCGGTTTGAAAAGATACCCAGATTTAATGTGGATCTTTGTACATATAGCTCTATATCCGCAGTTCTCTGCTGATTATGGACTGGGGAAGGCTGAAAGCCGCATCTATATTTCATGAGTATGTGGTGAGCTACCATAATAGAGTTGGTCCTTTTAATGCAGGGAATGTAACTATAATGTACACAGAATGTTTGCATAATTTAAAACGGCAGAGCAGAATACATTTTTAATAAGTATCTTGCAATAATCTGAAGGCTACTTGTATTTGTTTAATAGTCACTATTTAGACCTTTTTAGAAGTACCTTGTAGCTTACACTGGAACAAGGATAAGTAAATTGTGAAAAGCTACAAATATTATATACACGCTAGTTTATCAGTTATGAGTGACGACATAGGTGCAAAAGGTAGGTGAAAATTGTTATTTTTTTTACTTCTACTTTAGCTTAAACACTTGCCAACTCATATCTATTTTTTGAAAACCAAGAATCTTAACACTTCAGTGAATAAAGCACGACGACTTGTTCTGTTGCAGAAAGATTACTTGTTTAGCCATATGTTTGCCCAATTCCCAGTTTGGGAGACACTTAGATTTTTTTATTTTTAAATACGTTGTCATTGCAGACGACTGGAGTACTTTAATTTAAAGTCTTTTACGGGTGCTTTTGCAGTGCTCTTCAATTTTAAATATTATTGGTAATTTATCTATTGCATCGATCAATAAGTTGCTGCAATACCTTACACCATATATTATGCTCAGTTCCTACAGTGGTTCATTAAACATAAATGTACTATATGAACTGTATTGTAGTAATAAAACCAAGTATCAACTTTAAGCAAAGTTCTACATTCTTAAAAAGAAGATACATGCATCATTGCAGAAGGCAGTAATATTGAACAGGGGAAAAGATGATGAGCCCAGAATATCTGTCAAGTCTGCCTTTTTTATCCTTTTTAAAATGAATCTAAAGAATGAATGGTGAACAGCTGAATTCTCCCGAATCACAAGCCGCAGACTGTAATGATTACTTGGCAAACCAGATGTTTGCAAACTATATTTCCAATGACCCTTTGGTTGGTTAATCTGACAAAGTATCATAGTACTGAAGCTGAATAACCATGAGATGCCAAGGTTATCCAACAATGGTATATTAAGGCATTAGGCAAATACAGAAATGGTATTTGCGCCTGGGACAGTTTTCATTACCACATCACAATTGTTTATAAATGGAATTAATTAGTCATTGTAAAATATTAGCATAAGATGTTAACAAATATTGTTATGAATTGTTATAAATATTTAGCATGTTTATACAATGCATTCAACCTTCAATTTCTATGTGGTTTTTGCAAGTTATAATGTTGAAAATGCCAATACATTCTCACTGGTTTATTAAATAAATACAGAAAACCGGTGAAAAGAAAATGACATAATTTAGGCAAAACTACCCAATAAAAACAAATTTACGCTATAGTCACAACTTGGCTAATTTTGTCTAAATTCTGCAGTTGGCTATTCAAATTAACGCGTTTATGTTTAGTGAATAAACCCGCTTACAATTTCTTGCTTTCAAAAACTTTTAGAAAGTATTCACTAAATTGTTTTTTTTAAGGAGGGTTGAGATGGAAATTGCAAATTCTAGACCAAATTAGCCAAACTAGATAAACAAATTAATTGGGGACCATCTGATTTGAAATGTCCAAGTAATTGTCAATTCTGCACATTGTAGAGAAATCATTTGACATAAGATGTCCATAGGAAAGCCTGGAGTATGAAATAATAAACTGGATTATAAAGCTGTACCATAGTTCAAGCTACAAAGAGATTTTTCAAACCATTGGTTATGATTTGAAACAATATTGATGGTTATATTAGTATTTTATTATTTATAAAGCGCCAGCAAATTCCATAGCGCTGTACAATGGGAGGGAATTTGATCATGTTAAGCAAAAGCTGTTGGCACTAAACTATTATTTTAATATAATAATGTTTTTATCAACTTTTCAAAGAAAATATATATTTTTTTACATATATTTAATTTAGAAAAAATAATAAAGAGATAAATCACCCCTAGCTTTAGATCATGACAGAATCAATGTACATATCCATATATATATATATATATAATAAAACTAACCAAAAAGCTTGCACTCCTAGTGTATATACTGATGCCCTGTGCTATTAGCCACACAAAAAAATACAAAATAGAAAAATTGGCTGCACTCATGGTTACTTGTCCTGATGAAAGTTCCAATGCTGGAACAGAATCGTATGTACCATTAAAAGTTAAGTATTATCTAATCTATCTGTTTTAACCAAGTCTTTGAGTGCAGCCAATTTTTGTTTATATATATACACACAACCTTTAATTTTAAATTCACCTTGAATTCTCACTTCAGTGAAACAGTTAGTCTCTGTGGTCATCCACACAAGCAGGGAAGAACATAGAGACTGTCAGTGAGTTTTCATACAATGTCCGACCAGAAGTATATGCATTTGACTGAAGGATCCTGGCATATACTCTAGGTAGGTTTTCCTCTTAAAAAAATAAACAAAAACAAAAACCATATACTTTATTTAAAAAAATAAATCAATTTCATTTTAAAAGTTGATGAAAGGATTATTATATTTAAGATAGTTTTGAGGTAACAGTTGTCCTTTAAGGTAAACAATTTTTTAAACTATGCATTTTGTAGCCCCTCTCTGGCAGATCATGAGGAAAAATAGTAGGTTAACGTGCTTTTTAAATATGGATCTTAATTTAAAAAAAAAAAAAAAGCATACAAGCATGTCCACATCAATAAAACTTATAATTCATATTCTCTGTTCATAAATGGTGGCTAATCTTTGCCTTCATAAGTATGTTTTAAGAAAAACAAGGGGGTTCTGTCCAACTGCTCATCTGTCAGTAGCCTTGGGGTAATGCAGACTAGGTTCATCAGAGCAGAAATGTCAGCGAAATGCGTCACAGCCCAACTGGATGCTGATTAACATTTGCAAAGCTGTACTACAGTCCATATCCTTCCATATAAGTTAATCATTCTACTGTTCCAGCACTAGTCTACCATGTAGAGCATAGCATCAAGCACTTAAACAAATTACAAAGTAGGCGCAAAATGTCCCTTAAAAAGGACCACATTGTTGGCAATTATCAAAGAACATTTATAAATAAAGTTATAAATTCAATCTCTCCAAAGGGGTAAGTAAGGTGCATGTGTGCATCCACAATGAAAACTAGGTATTTGCAAAGGTAGATTTTGGTAAAACATCCCTTGCCCACATTAATTAAAAACTCAATGGCGATGCCTACGTATAAGTAATTAAGAGGTTGATAAAAGTTCATGTATTTGACTCATATACTTCAAAGCGCCCTTTATAAAGATATTTCTTACGTAGAGTTTATTTTTAGTAACTCTAAATTAGTGTTCCTGTCCTGTAGATGTTGAGTTATTTATTTAGATATTTGGTTGAGCGGCTGTTCTGGTACACTTGCAAAATTTCAAACTTTAGCATGGTTAGTCTGTAAAATACAGATTTCTATGTATGAATATAAACTCATGTATCTCAAATATGATCTCCTAAATAAGAGTTATTAGAGACTATGTGTCTTCTCAAAATAGTCAATACATCTTATAATAGCATGCTGTAAACTGACGAATAAGCATAAGGGTTAAAACAGGTAAAAACATGGAGCTGTGCAATTACTGTATATGCAAAGTAAAAAGACAAATGACAGGGGAATTACTACATTTTCTCAAATATAAAAGGCGTCTAGGAAGTTTAAAGTAACACTCCAAGCACCATATCCATTACAGTGCACTGCAGTGGTTCTTGTGCCCTTAAAAGTGTAGTCAAACCATTTGCTAACAGTCTGACTTTTTACCTGGGGTCTACCAGGTGCTGCTCTATGCCTCTATTCTCTTCTCCATAGGAGAATAGGAAGCTCTGATTTTTTTCTCTCCTGAGTTGCCTGAGAGACCCTCCACTACCCAAATACAAAATAAACAAAAATCACTGTTTAGTAGATATACCCCAAATGAAAATTATGCATGTTTTCATTGTTGTAAATCTAATAACAGCATTCAAAACCTGCATTGTCTTGTCTGTTGCCTTTGCAAACCCTCCCCTACTAACCCCACCCAGGCTTTCTGAGGACACACTCTTTACACAAAGCTTTTTTAGCAAGCTAAAGTGCTTTAGGGGTCTGGAGTGTCCCTTTAAGCCCTGCAATGCAGAGCCAACACAATGTCTGACAGAGTTGGGATTAGTTTGGACAGAGTTTCCACATCTCATAGTTTCTATATATCCTATAGGAAAGCATTGGATTGGCTGAGATCATCAAGACTGATGATATTAGCCGGGTTGAGGGGGGCTAGTCATGGTGAGACCAGCGGGGCCATGTAGAAAAAAAAGAAGTTTAAAACCTTTTAACTCCACTCTGAGGGGTGCCGGTGACCTAATCGCCAGTCCAACACTACAGGGTTAGGAATACATGTTTGTATTCCTAACAACATCGTGTTCCTTTAACTATTAAGCCACAATAGATAATCTGCAAAATGTGCTGCAAGAATTGTTTTTCACTTTTGTCACTAAAAACTGTGAAATGCCAGTTTTAGCAAGTAACCCAGTGAAAAACATTCTGTATCACAAAAGAGAAACAATAGGCATTTAGAATAATGTCTACTATTGCAACTTTTCATTCCTGGGCTACAATACGGTCTCAAAGGCAACAAAACCAATCTGGCAATTTTCAATGTGAAAAAACTGAAACGCAAGCCTTATATTTGACTAACTTTTGAAAAAAACCATAAAACCTGTACATAAAGGGTACTGTTATACTCAGGAGACTTCGCTGAACACAAATATTACTGTTTCAAAACAGTAAAATGTATCACAACAATATCGTCCATGTAAGTGCCATTTGTGTGTGAAAAATGCAAAAAATTTCACTTTCACTGACAATATCATCTAATATTTGTGTTCAGCGAAGTATTCCGAGTAAAACAGTATCCCCCATGTACAGGTTTTATGGTGTCTTGGAAAGTTAAATATAACGCTAGCAAATTAAATTCCCTGGACTTTCGGCCTGGGTTGGCAGGCAGGTCCCGCAAATTGTAATTAATAAAATGACCTAATTATGTAAAGTTATTACATAAATATATACATGTGTGTGTGTGTGTGTGTGTATATATATATTATATATATATATACATTTTAAATGAAGACTGTGGAGTGCAGTCATCACTTTGGATTTTCTATGTGAATCAACCAGCTGACTTAGGCACCCGGCAATACCACAGATAGCATGAGAGCAAAGAATTTTTTTATTTTTTTTTTATAATTATATTTAACGTATTTACATATATATTTAATATTATAAATATATATATATTAAGCAATATCAGTCTACGTGTACTTTGATATTAATATATAATTATATATATATTAAAATACACTTAGACTATGTATGTGTATATATGTGTATGTATGTATGTATATGTGTGTTTTTATAATTGTATTTCACACTGCTTTAACGTTTATTTTTATTTTTTTACAGGCAGCGTGGAGAGTACCTGTCATTACAGGCACTCCCCCTGCTGGCACTGACATGGATGGCTATGCCATCCATGTGATTGCGAGGTCCTTGCAAGGACCTCGTGATCACATGGCCCAGGAGGGCCAGAATGGAAGCAGGGGGACTCCCTGGGATGCCAGGTGAGTCCCCACACCGTGATTGACGCCGTTTAGAGCCAGGTTCCTAAGGATAGCATAGCACGCCCGCCGTCCTTAAGGGGTTAACAGTCAGTATGTGAGGATGTCATACCAGTACAAAAGCGTACACTGTCGCAAGTTGGAATCAATAATAGAAACTTATAAGTTACTAAAACACACTTCTATTTAATAATAATTATTAAAGAAACACTTATAGTCACCCAAACAACTTTAGCTTAATGAAGCAGTTTTTGTGTATAGGTCATGCCTCTGAAGCTCAATTATTTGCATAAAAACTGCATAAAAACAAAATTGTTTCATTTTCAATCAGATGTAACTGATTTTAAATTTGTTTTTATCTCCTACTCTATAAATTAACCTTTAATTACATACAGGGGGCTCCTGCAGGGTCTTGCAAGCTATTAACAGAGCAGGAGATAATAAAATCTAGATTAAACAGAATTTGCAATAAAGAAAGTGTAAACATTAGATGACTCTTTACAGGAAGTGTTCAGGAAGGCTGTGTAAGTCACATGCAGGGAGGTGTGCCTAAGGATGCATAAACAAAGTGATTGAACTGATAAATGGCAAAGAATAAAGCAGTGAGACTGCAGGGGCATGAGCTATACACCAACGCTGCTTCATTAAGCTAAAGTTAGTTTGGGTACTATAGTGACCATTAAAAAAAAAAAAAAAAAAAAGACTTTTCACAATGTGAGGTGCAGAAAAGGCATGTATATGAAGAACATGTAATCCTATACATATAAAAATGTGCAACTTTATTTGCCATTCGATATATAGTGAGCTGACAACCAATATGTTAAATTGAGGCCAAAAAAGCAGATTTTAAAAAAAGATATATATTTTTTAAATCATAATTTTATTATTGATTCACCCATCACTATGCAGATCTATTGTGCAATAAAACTCTTGTTTTATCAGTTTTTCCCATTAGAAATAGGTTATATCTTTTTTTCTATCTAAACGCATACCAGATCTTTTCTCCATCAGAGAACTGATGGTGATTTATATTTTAGCCCCTCTGGCAGTAAATAGTTTAAAGATATAATTACTAGGCAGCATTCTTTTAAAATAGCTTCTTTTCTCAGTTTTGATCATGGTTGACTGGAAACTGCTGCCTCATTCTTCCCTAATTAGTGATGAGCCACTAAAGCCACTAATGAGAATTTATGTAGCCTGTATTCTTCAGCCACAGATGAGTGCCAACAGAGAAACCTATTTAATGGACAGATTGCCACTGATATATTTTGCAATCTTCCCAAGAAAACGATCAACTTATGCTTTGCTTTTTTTGTGCCACACATGCACAAATTGCACAAATTGTTTTGCCATGCGAAAAAAATGACAAAATTGACTTTAATTAGAAGATAATTAGTTGTGGTGAATTGGCAAACGAATTGCAAAATGAGGGCAAAATTGGTCAAATTAGGCTAGTTAGAATAACTAGTATTGTGGGAGATGAATGCTTTGCTGTTTTGGCCTAAATTCTGCTTTTAAATGCAATCTGACTAGATTCAGAGTTTAAGGCAGGGATAGACCACCTTTGACACTCCAGAACTAAACCTCCCATAATGTTTTGCCAACATTATGACTGTAAGAGCACACTGGGAGATGTAGTCCCCAAAATCTAAAGTGCCAAATGTTGCCTACCCCTGGTTTAGTAAATAACCCCTAATTTGTGTGGGTGGGGCCTGACTGCTACGCTGAGGCAGTCATGTTTCTTTAGTTTCTTTAGCTTCAAACTCAGATGTAAATATACTATTTTCAAGCTCATGAATACCCTACTTTAGGCCTTTGCCAGGACCTTTGGCTCATGGAACCGCTGTGGTACTTCCATGCCTGTTGCCATTCATATACTCACCTATTTTCCGTGCCTCAGCATCTGCACTTAGCTGTCCATATCAATGGAGGAGGCAGCTAATCCTTTGGTTGAACTGGAGTGACTGGCGACGTAATTGAGTTATCATACTGCCTTCCTCCCTCTCCCCACATGGACCAGTGGAGGATATCTTCGTTCCTGGTTTGTGTAGGCTGCCACAAATCTCAATAACCCCATTGAAGGACTGATCTGCCCATCGGTCACGCACCTGATTTCTGCAAGAGGGTCAAGCAGGCACTTGGAGCAATACCAAATATGCATCAAGAAGACATCCTGTCTGGATTCAACCAACTCAGTGAGAGGTTCTGGACAACATCCTACACGTGAGATACTCAGAACTTACCCCAATCAAACTAGGTATCAGCAGCAATAAAGGAGTCCACTGGAACCCACGCCAAGCAAATCTGCTCTACCCTCCATCACCTCTAAGAAGTCCAGAACTCCTGGGCTGACAGCCAGTAGGAGAATGTCTCCATCATATCACTAAAAAAAGGTCTCAGAGGTGACGTCTAAGCAAAAAACCACAGCATGTCACATATAACCAAGTCAGTGGTGCACTGGTGAAGTCTCCATATCTGGCCTTGGGGCTGGTGTGATGATAGTGCACCAGTATGCAAGTATGCAGTATTACCGCCTTAACTCCATCAGAAACCTCTGTGCAACCTATACAACTTTACCCTGATGATAGCAACCTATTGCGACATTCTACAGTTAACACGCAGGACATCCTTTTGTTTTTAGTTATTTTAATTTTCACCTGTGATATACAGGGCCCAATACCTCTTTTTAGTTAATATAACCGGGTCTGGGTGTCCTTCACTTAAACACCTACTATTATGTTTACTTTAAAGGAGGCCAGCTATACTCTTGTTCGTTATTACATGCACAATATCATCTTGCTATACTCATTAGTTATTTGGTGTTAGCTCAACCATGCTCGGAAATATGTCACTGCTCATGCTATATACCGCAATGCTTCTACATATTTATGATTGGCAATGTCACTACTACATAAACAGTGTATGTTATAAATGTGCCTCAATAAAAATTGATTGACAAAAACAAATAACCCCTAATTTGTCACTCCTATATTACAAAATATGCCTCCATACAACTACAGTTGAACTACATATATAGCATACTCAAACTGTGTGTATTATACAAGCATGCTCACTATTTAGCAGTGATGTCAAATTACCAACCAAACCCATGCCCACTATTTAGCAGTGATGTCAAATTACCAACTAATCAAGTCACAGAATTAATTTACATATTTTTATTCTTTTCTCCCATAGACACTGGCCAAAACATTGTTTCTAAGAACCATTGTGAGAACACATCACAATAGGAAAGCTACTTTGAAGAAGGTAGCCATTAATCCTCCAAAATACCTAAGGAACTGATGGAAATGAGAGTAACAGGAAAAATTATACAACAATGTACCCTTCTAAAAGGCGAGTATTTATGCGACATTCATAGTGCAAATCACATGACCTCAGAAATGTCTTGGACCTAGCATGCTTCCATTTCCATGTTTAGTAAATGTTCTGCTTATTTGGGAGCTTAATCACTTAGAAAATCACTTAAAATGACATTGGTGTCAGAACATGCAAGCATGTTTGAAGCACTCTAAGTGACACTTAAATTGTGAATCATGAAATGTTGCACTTACAGAGATATCTGCTTGTGCCAGGGGCTAGTTACACAACTTGCACACATGATTTAGGCAGCCCGGAACTCTCCTAATGTGAATTCCCTGGTAATTCGCTAATTTGAATGATGTTCTCTATTGCAGGCAGGCCTAGGAGAATGCCTTCAAAGGGAATCCTTGATCTCCCTCTGTTGCACTCTATCCATGCATTGCCACTTAAAGGGACACTCGAGGAACCAAAACAACTTCATCTAAATTAAGCTGTTATGGTGCTAGGAGGCCCCTGAAGACACTCATACCTCAAGGGGTTAAGCCATTCTCAAAGCTGGATGCCATCTGGAGGGGAGTGGGCATCGCCGCTGGATGCAACTTTGCGGTTAAACTATTCAAGAACGGTTTCACTCCTTGAGGTAAGAGTGCCTCCAGGGGCCTGCTGGCACCATAACAACTTCAATGGAAGCAGGCAAGAAGAGAAGTGCAGCTTTTGCAAACTCTTTAGATTTACTCTCAATAAAAAATACATAATAAATGCATACATGTTTTCATTGGGGATATATCTACTAAGCAGTTATTTTATTTATTTATTTGTATTTGGGATATGGGGTTCCTCTTTAATGGACAGAAGTGGAACCAGAAATAGTCCACTTTTCTAGTGGGTTCTGAGGGAGCCTGGTGCTGGAGCAAGGTAAGTGGCTGAAGGGGTTTTAACCCCTTCAGCCCAGCAGGAGTGGGACCCTGAGGGTTTGGGGGGCCTAAAGACCCTATAGTGCCAGGAAAACTAGTTTGTTTTCCTGGCACTATAGTGGTCCTTTAATAATTAGAAACAAAAGTACTGTTCACTAGATGGCATTTTTGTTTCTTCTGCCATTCTCTGCAATGTGCAATAATCCTAGATTCCTGGAATGCTGGAAGCACCATATGATTATAGATCACTCATCTTCTATATTCTGCTTGATAGAACTGCAACAGTAATCCAGTCCCCAATGCACACTTACAGTCCAAGACTCCGATATTTCTCATTTCTGTGCCAGGACGACACTGACAACACATGAACCACTAGTGTGTCACAAGGACTGGGCTGGAAACCATTAATATAGAACAAAGACATCTTTCAACCATGTCTGTGCATGTTTTACGTACTGCATTTCAGCTATTTGGCCATTTGTGTTAACCCCTAACCCGCAGTTATGGCATCCTATGCCGTCCTACATAAAGTGGGCGTTAAAGCCTGTGAGACACATTTTGGCATGTGCAAGGTTAAATCCCTGCTCACACCAGGGAACATCAAATATCAATGGATACATGGGGCTCCCCTCTGTCAGCTGGGGCCATTTTTAGTGCTCACACACTTTACATAAGCTGTTTTCCACGCTGCAAACAGCTATTTGAAAATGCATTTAAATAACTATTAAAAAATTGTGGTGTAAGCAGTGTTAAATCCCAATCAATGGATACCTGGGGCTCCCCTTAAAGTGCTGAGGCACAATTTTAATGGCCCCAGACTTTTTAATGAGCTACTTGCATTTAATATGCCTACTCAGTGAACGCGGTGTGAGCAGGGTTAAATCCCTCATCATCAATGGATACCTGGATATTTTTAGTGGCCCCAGAGTGACCCTCTGTATAAAGCTGGAAGCAAAGGGGTCAGGGTGCAGGAATGTTTCACCACAACAGGTCCTTAAATTAAAGGAACTGGCATAGCAACTCGGCAATGCTGAAAAGTTTATGATTTGCAAACTTGCAGCAACAATGCTTTTAGGGTACGGTAGGCCAAAAGTAGCTGGACTTGAAGCACAGATCACAGACAACTTTTTCTAATTTGGTTATTTTGGCCTTAAATATGAAATTCACTTTGAATTCCCAACAATTTACTCTTTAGTAACTAACTTTGCAGGTGTGCATAGCTCATTTGTTTTTCTTCATAAAGAGAATGTTTGCAATAACGTAATTGGCTAGAATTTGTAATTTGTTACAAAATGTAAAAAAGCAAACAAACAATATCTTTAATTTGCATTTAAAGTTAACCAGATACAGTTTAATCATCCCCAAGAATGAGAGCACGAAGCCAGGTCACATGGTGTTTGTGCTAAGAAAGTCTAGCACTATGATAACCTTTGACCAGAACAATCAGTGCCTCACCCTAGAATGTATTTTATAGAAACATGCTTTACCAGGTGGGATTAATAAGTAGCAATAATTGATAGCATCATCCTCCCCTCCCCCGTCACAGTAACCTTGCAAACAGTTGAGAAAGAACAGAGGACAGGTAGACATAAAACTACCTGTGTAGTGTAGAGATGTTGAGAGAATACCAGGATTGTTTGCATACATTAATGAGCAGACAGACTGTCTCTAGGTTCGACAAATATATCTGCTCTTTGTATTCCATGTCCACCTGTATGTACATTTTGGTGACTGCTAAGTGAACCCCTTACTAACTGACCTTGTTATGCATCTGATCTTGCATCATTTTAAATATATGATCATGCTGTCATTTTTATTCTGCAATATTTTTTAAATGTAATAATAATTATTAATATACCTGTGGTGTAGTATCCTAGCCGTCAAATTTAATATACCAGTACACGTCTATAACATATTTAAGAGTTCAGAACTATTTTCCCTGCTTCAATCATAGCTATAATACATGAAGTGAGAAATAGAGAGAGAGAAAAAAAACAAACCTACAATTTCCATTCCTCTATAAGTTATCACGAAACATCATCCATTTGTAGGGAAAGTAAACTACTGCACATAAAGTCATATATGCGTTTATATATGCATGCATGCACACACAGATTTCAACACACAGCCTATATACGTTTCCTCCATCTGTGCCAGCCTGGTTTTTATCCTCCAACAGAGATGTGAATGTGGCTTTATTTATTTATTTTTAATTCTGTTCACTGAATATTGAGGTCAATTAGGAATGCTGTTTGCTTCCTGTACCATGAGCAGATTAGACAACCTATGCCCTCAACACCCCCCTTCCCCACAGCATTGCCGATCTCTGCCGCACTGACCCACATTCCGCTGAAAATCTGTCCACTGTGTGCGTCAGAATTGGACTTTTAAACCATCTATTCCCTTTTTATCCTTTTAAAATTGTAACCTCATTTGCCACCATTCTCACTTTACTTTATTACACCAAAGCTTTAAAAACTTTTGCAAGCATAGTGGAGTTAATACTATAAATTCATTTTCTGTCACTATACATAAAACAGGAGTGTAGCTTTAGTAGCATTTTAGTCACAGGAACATGAAGCTCAGCAAAGCATTTCAAAACATTTTTATTTCCATTAACAGTAACATCTGCGCTCTGGATGGACATATGAATACTGTAAAGCACTCGTTCTAGAATCTCAGTCCCTTAGTTAAATCCCAAATAAGGGACTAGACAGACTAATGATACTTTGAAGCTAGAATGGAGTCATGGTGGTCTTTAAAATAGACATCAATCATTATAGACTGAAAGTCATCACCAATGTATTCCACTAACTTTACCAGGGACAATAGAATTCGCCCATCATCTAAGGTTACCGTTGTGTAGATGTACTTCTATGGGACATATCAGAAAAAAAAAAGCCAAAATATCTGTAAAAATGTAGCAGAGGGCTGAAATAGATAACTGGAAGCAAAGATCTGCATTCCCTCCAATGTGCAATAGCTCAGTACCCGTTCGTGTGAATGTTATGACTATTGTTGCGACTTTCAGCAAAATATGGACTTTAAATGATGCAAGCAAATAAAATAAAAACAATATATACACATATATATAATTCATGTTTTAGTTGACCAAAAGCAGAAACAAAACAAGTGTCATGCTGTGCAGAAAATCTGCCACGCCAGAGTGTTTTAAACCTAATAATACTTGGTTTTGCACAAATAAACCAGTTTATTTTGCAGCTGGTCCATGAGGATCAGATTGTCTTTCACATTTTATAGACTTGTTTTGCTTTATGTTCTGTTCTTGCTGCAAGTAAAGTGTGATGGATTTCACTCAACTCCTTTATGGAATAAAGGGTTAAAAACCTCAGATCTCACTTCACTAAATTATGACCTTATTCTATTTTCAGCATTGCCATATGTTCCAAAAGTGTGCTTTGTGTAAACCTGACCCTCTTCAAACTTGGTAACTCGCTCTTATGATTCCACTGCACATTTTGTAAAATTAATTGTTAAAAAAAAAGCAAAAAAAAACAACCCAGTTTTTATCCAAAACATCTCACAGCAGTCAGACGGTCAGAGATGCCCCAAAGCTCGAATTCCAAAGCCTTCCCAAACCACCCCCTCTTAAAGCACATTCACCCAGGAGGAAATCAAACTTCCTGCCATCTGCACACTTTAACTCGTTAAATTCTAGGAGATGGGGGGGTTGAAGGAACATATGGCATCTGTGCAGTTTTATGCACTGTTTGGATGCCATCCTGATTAGATGCCAAGTGCCCGGATTTGCGTTAAACTAAACTCTTTGCTGCATGCTTTAGTTTACTCGAACAGCTGCACTAAAATTTAATTTCTTGGTTGCTTTAATATACTAAAACGTGCATTTCAGATGTTCTGCATCAGAGTATTTTGGGAAAAATGGGCTAGGGAGATCATATCAGATAGTCAGTGCACTTTTAAGTGAATGGAAATTGATTTTTCCTTTATTCACTTATCCCTTTGGATGTTCTGAATTTCAATGCCTGGTCTCTAGAATAGGTTAGGAAATATTTGCCATTCAAGAGGCTGCGGACTACATCATGCTCCACCATGTCCTTCACTTTGTTGCTTAATGGAGTAAATAAATGTAATTTCATTTTCCAATCGAGATATAGAAATTAGAAATTATTTGGGTATGAGCAAACCCATCTTATGTTTGGATTCTGATATTTGCATTTAAAAGGGCCAATGGTTTCTTTGTTGTGTGTGTTCTGCAGGGCAGGTGGGGACAGGCCAAACTGGGGGGCATGGTAAATGTTCCCAGTGACAGAACAGAAATGATACAACGTGACAGCTGGCAGTAATCTACAGCAGCCGGGTGCTCCCTGGAGGGTGACTGAACTCAGAAAGGGGAGCACAGTCTACACTAGGAGGTTTGATAATTCTAATCAAAACAGCTGACAGAAGGCATCTGCCGTTGGGGCTGTGCCATCAGGAGTTCCACATCAATGTTACAAGACTGCAAGCAGGAGGACACAGGGACAGAAGGAAGAAATCAGGACAAGGTGAAATAAGATATAGGAAAGGTGATAAAAACACCAATAAACAATATACAGCAAGTCTTGCCGAGATATTAACTAAACCATGATTTGACTAGGACATTTTAATTAGCTGAACAGCCATGTCAAAATAAAATGCTAAATTCTTCGGTCAATTCTTCACAATTCCTAGTTTAAAGAAAACCCAGATGGTAAAGAATTTGGCCGAAATCAATTTTATACCAGAGAGAGATTACAAAAGAAGAGGCAATGGACTGTTAGCCTGTACGTGTACAGTGCTGTGTACACTGTACCGGAAGCCGTAGCAGAGCCACGCTTGGACAGCTACCAAAAGAGATTTTATTATAGGGCAGGCAATTACCCTACTTTACAATTTGTGTCTGCATGCTTCCAGTCGCTGAATTAAAGTTAAACCAAGCAAGCAATGGAGGAGGCTGTATTAATTCTGCTCAATGCATTTGCTATGCAGTCATAAAATGAGGTCAGTGCTTGCATGTATTTCAGGCTTGGTAAACGCAAGTATTGCCTTAAGAATCCCTCATCACCTTAAACGACACTGGCCTTGAGCCACTACATACAGAGTTTTATGAGTTTTCCATTTCTCAATGGTTTCCCAGTTGGCCGAGCTAAGAGAGAGGCTTGTTAGTTTACATTAGGGGCAGTCAGATGTAATTAGGAAGATTGGTCTCTAGGATTGGCTGTGTTCTGGGCAAGCCCAATGCATTGTAATTTCTACTTTGTAAGACTGTTAATAGGCCATTAGAGTTGTAAGGAGTTTATGCAAGAGGAAGCCACTTATATGTCATAAGTGTTTCTGTGCATAGAACGTATATACCATTAACCCATACAATCCCTCAAGTACAATGTAAGGATAAGCAATTGGGATTGAAGAGTGACAAGTTATGACCTATTTATCAAACCAAAATTATCTAAGAAAAAATAAACATAATATCTAGAATTTCAAAAGCTTGGATTTTATTTTTTTTGGGGGGGAGAGGTGGGTGTGAGTGATATATACCCAGAATCATGATGAATAATGATCTACAATTATTTCTGCATCTTTAGGATTAATCCATAATAATTTAGAAATTCCTTGCAGATTGTAAAGTTTAGAGGACATGGATTTACGATCTAAATCTATCATTCATTTTTTGTTGTAGTATTCCTCCTATCATAGTAGATAGAAACGGTAGAGCATGCACAAGTGTAATTTATTTACACATTACCAGGTAATTGCTACAAATTATTACCTTAAAGTGACACTCCACTGCCCAAATTGAACGAAGGAAAGGAAAAAAAAAAAATCAAAGTCACTGTTTAGTAGATATATCTCAATAAAAACATGCATGCATTTAATTGTGCATTTTTTCATTGGAGGTTTATTTAAAAACTGTTTGCAAAAGCTGCAGTTCTCTAGTCTGAAGCCTTTGCAAGCCATCACCTTCTTCCCCAGCTCAGACTTTATGTGGCTGTCCAATCACAGACTTCCGAATGCAGGCAAATGAGAATTCTTTGCAAGGCAGGTGCTCTGAAAAAAGCCTGCCTCTTGAGTTTAACTCCAGTGAGCTAAACAACCAGGAAGTAAAAAGACTGGTTGTCTGAATGCCAGCCGGAGTTGGGTGGACAAGTTTAATTTATAAAAGTGGCAATTACTATTTAACCCCTTAAGGACACATGACATGTGTGACATGTCATGATTCCCTTTTATTCCAGAAGCTTGGTCCTTAAGGGGTTAAAGGATCACTATAGGGTCAGGAACACAAACGTATTCCTGACCCTATAGTGTTAAAACCACCATCTAGCCACCCTGGGCCCCTCATGCCTCCATAAATATAGCAAAATCTTACTGTATTCAAGCCTGAAGCTGTAGTTTTGTATGCTGTTTGCCTTAGAAAAACAAGCAGTCTGCTGACATCAGAAGTGGTAGCCTGATCCAATCACAATGCTTTCCCATAGGATTGACTGAGACTGACAAAGAAGCAGATCAGGGGCAGAGCCAGCATGATTCAAACACAGCCCTGGTCAATCAGCATCTCCTCATAGAGATGAATTGAATCAATGAATCTCTATGAGGAAAGTTCAGTGTCTGCATGCAGAGGGTGGAGACACTGAATGTTTGGATGCATTTTAGGCAGCCATGACCCAGAAAGGATCTCTAACAGCCATCTGAGGAGTGGCCAGTGAAGTTATCACTTGGCTGTAATGTAAACACTGCATTTTCTCTGAAAAGACAGGGTTTACAGCAAAAAGCCTGAAGGTAATGATTCTACTCACCAGAACAAATTCAATACGCTGTAGTTGTTCTGGTGACTATAGTGTCCCTTTAAATTTCTTCTTTTTTTATTTTACAAATGGTGCAGGACACACTTCACACAGAAAGCACACTCTTCACTTTGGAGTCTACCTTTAAGCTTTTTGAGGAATGTCTGAATATCCAGTCCTTGTTTTGTGTGTTTTTTTGTGTATATTCCTGTTTTAATAATTCTATAATAATATATTCACCAACCAGAGCTCATTACTACAATAACAGGATCCACCTAAACACCTGTAAGACAATGTGATACAGGATGTAAAAGGTGTTTGGCCCTGACATTTGACTCACCTTGTGTGTGTGTAAAATGTAAACATTCAATAAATTGTGCTATTGAAGAAATAAAAAAAAATAAAAGCATATCATCAGCTCTGTCACAATCTGAATTAACCAACCAATAGAGGCTTTGAATGTCCCTCTATTGTAAGAGATTTATTTTTTCACCTTAGCCTGGGTCAAAGCTCTGCTATTAATATATTCCCTTGGCAGTACGAGTGCCCTCTCTGCTTTCCAGGTTTTATAATTCCAGGTCACATTACCTGGCACCCGCTTGCAGTTTTGTACTCTGGGACCAGACGCTTATCTGTAACTATACACAAGGAGTTTTGTTTCAGGGGAAGTCAGGGCCCAGACTGCTGGCAGTGGTCCAGCATGCACTGGAGAGGTGTGCCAGACACACGAGGAGGGAAATCACTGGCAAGCAGGAAAGTCCCATCCAAACACCATTCAGAGTGTTTTGCATTGTCTAAAAATAAAGATGCTGACCTCTGTAATGACAAGAGAAGAAGAAAATATTTATAAAGCCAAGTGCATGTGCTTTGCCCAGTGATTTCAAGTGTCTCTTAATCTTGTATTAGGCACCAACTGATGCTAAAAGAGTTTTAATAGAGTCAGGCAGCAGACAAATGCAATCGTTTCACATTGACAGCATTTATTTAATTTATTTGCATTGTGTAACATGACATACAATTGTCAAAAGCAGTACTTTTAATGCACATCACGAAAGACAGGTTTGTTTGTTTTTCTCAATATGAGAAAAAGTTTAAATAGAGTGAAATGCAAATAAGGCGTTAATGTACATATGATGATGCACTGCTGTAGTGCAATGAAGGCATTGTAAAACACATGTATGAATATTGAAGAGTACACGTTTGGTGCACCAAGGCTCCAGCTCAAGTGCAAATACCTTGCAAAGTTACTATTTTGGGGCAAACTGCACTCCTCTTTGTGATGGCCATAATGTAACCTTCTTCAGGAGTAGACAACTTTCACCAGTCTTGATGTTGTGGACTATATCACCAATAACGCTCTTAATGGCATGATTCTGTTTAAGCATTAGGGGAGATGTAGTCCACAACAAACTTGACTACCTCTTCTTAAAGCAAATCTGTTCTCTTGCGTATGCAAGAGTACAACACTGAGGTCTATGGAGGATCCCACAATTCCAATAGACAGAGCCTGAATCCCACAGCCATCATTTATGACGGCTCCTGGGATTGAACAAAAGTTGACGGCGGAGCTCCACCTTTTGTCAACTTCAGGATTTACCATAAGATAAAGTAGTCCCTACTTTGTGTTATGGTGTCTTTAGATTGTGTTAGAATTTCAATGAAATTCTTATGCAGTTTTGATCAGTATTTCAGTATTAGTGTGTCCCAGGAAATGTTTTTTTTACTAATCCATTTTGGGCAAGAATTTATTTTTAATAACTACATTTCTGTTTCTCAAAAGGAGAATTTCTGAATTTTGTGTAAAACTATAACGAACTGTGGCTTAGCTAGATATCAAGTCATTTCTTGAGGGGTGAATATATTTGTTTAAAACACGGATCTCCCCCGCGTGGCCTTATTGTGGAGCGAGCTGGACACATCTGAGTAGAGCTCCGCTCCAAACACGCTGCCAAAAGCCTAAATAAGCTTTTTTCATTTGGCTACTCAATTAATTATGGAAAAGAGAAACCCCAAAAAACACACTAAGAAGGGTCCAGAGTCTGGGACTTAGGTTTTAGACCTACTTGCCGCCCAAAAGATCCGGCCATCGGAAGGCCAGGATGGCGCTGGAGCAGGCCCGGCTTCCCAGCTGCCCTCGCCACATGCCGCCTGCATCGTGGAGGCCTCACCAAGTGACACCTCGCAGATACTCACAAGTCCAGACCTACCTTGCAGGAGAAATTGTGAAATCAACGAAGGTCCTTGGTGCGAGAACTGCGTGGCTGGAAGAACACCTTGAGAGTGCCACCACCACATAATGATGAAGTCGCCCACATCAATAGGCTTAACGCCCGCATGGCCAAGACGGAATTGGCGATGGAAGAAATTTCACAGGTTAGAAAGACTACTGACAGAACTTAGAACAAGAACATCAACTTCGCCCTGAGGAAGGGACTTTACGACAACTAGAGGCAGTGCGTTACTCCATAAGAGTACTGCTCCTCGACGATACCGCTAAGTCCATCACTTGGTCCAAATTGACCTTTTTTACGAGAAAGCAAATAAAATGGACACCCTTCTTGCTAGGACCCTTAAGCCTAGACAGAGATGCTCTCATATCCCATCCATACAACACTCCGACGTCCCTATTAAAAATACACCATCTGACATTGCGGAGGTCTTCACTAACTTTTATAGATCACTTTATAACCACTCCCCGGACTCCAAAATTCAGAGGGATCAGGAAGAGAACTTAACATGCAGATTTTTGATAGACCCAGGGCTGCCCAAACTGCCACAAGAGGCGATAGCCAAACTAGCTTCAGAAATGACATCCGAGGAAGCTGATCAGGCCATTTCTGGACTGAAAGGAAATAAGGCTCCTGGACGGATGGGTACGATGGGAGTTATAAGATTTTCTGTGAGGAACTCATACCCTATTTAGTAAAGCTGTTCAACGGATTCAGGGAAGGGGGCACACCGGACCATGATATGTCCTTGGCTACCATAGTGCTACTACCGAAGCCGGACAAAGACCTATTACTCCGGAGAACTACAGACCCATTTCACTCATAAACCATGATATGAAGATCCTTGCAAAGATTCAAGCAGATAGACTTAATCCTTTCTTAACAGCTCTGATAGATACCGATCAAGTAGGCTTTATACCAGGCAAACAGTTGTTTGAAAATACATGTAGAAACATCGACTACATACACACACACACACACACATATATATATATATATAGAGAGAGAGAGAGAGAGAGAGAGAGAGAGAGAGAGAATACAACTCCTGTAAAACTATAAAGAATTAAAAAATTCCCCACGGATGTGTGTTAGAGGGGCTGTGGGATGAGAGGGACGTACATTCATATGTGGTGGGAGTGTCCATTGATGATATGATTCTGCAATTTAATTAAAGATTTGGTAACCCAAGTGTTCTCAAGAGCCCCAGACCTCGACCCTTGAATATATCTGTTAAATAGATCTACCGAAGGGTGGACAAGGAACAAACAAAAACGTATTCATAAAATAACCCTGGCTGCATGAAGGGCTTTTGCCTAGCTAAAACAGGGTATCCCCAACATTTCAGGGGTGATAAACAGTGTCAAAGAGATAAACCATGGGATTCTGATGGGATCCATGGGAAAACAGTCCTTTTGAAAATTAATGATGACAAATGGTGTGAACTGTTACAAGTGAAGGGAGGGGTCTGCTGTTTCCCGACCTCTTCCGCCCCCTCTTCCCCCCATACATATGGCTTACATACAAAGTTAGACTTTGCCCCCACCCTACCCTTCTAACTCTATATATTCTTAATTTCTCTCTATTCTCTTTACTTCTCTTTCTCTCCCCTATATCTTGGGGATAATCATCACCGTAAACTGTGACTGACAACTTGCAAACTTTAGAGATAATGGTTGGTGCGATGCACCCTAATGGTACTCCATGTGTTATATCATCGGTCACTTCCTTACTATTATGTCAATTGGATAATTTCTATAAATGTAAGATGCTATACCATTCCTGGCGTTGTCTATTGCATGTCATTCATACTTAAAGAATTCAACCAAAAAAGTGCAGTAATACCAAGGCATTTCATGTTACATCTGTATTATTGTACTGTTATATATGGTCTTGTGAAATGTCTACATTACATTGTATGTTGTACTATGCACTAAAAAAAAAAAAAGAATATTAGAAAAAATAAGGAATAAAAAAAAAAAGACAGATCTCCCATATAATTTATATAAGCAATTATCAGCACTTGAGGTACAACATGCAAGCATCTGAAGAATAACAGACCAAAATACGTAGCTGCAAAATAACCAGGTGGATTTTGCAGATAAATACATTTAAAAAACAAACTATAATATAATAATTTATAATAATCATTATAATCTTCCTCCAACTGCAATCTCAAAAGACTTATTTTCTCTGCTAAAAATAACATACCTGTCATTCTGATCTGTTTATTTTCTAGGAGTCTGATGGTGTGAATGAATACATTAGATGCCCATCTCTACCCAGAGTTTCAGACGGAATCCGTTTTTTTTTTTTTTTTTTTAAACATTGCACCAAACAAAAGGATCATATTTTCACTAATGTGTCATGGCAATTCTAGATACATATTGTACAAACAAAAAACATCCCCTTGGCAAACATAGGGCCTGTGATTCATAGCACTGCAGGCTTCTTGGATGCTGAAAGGGTTAACACTTTCCTATCCTTAGTTTTTCATAAACTCTCCAGTGACCTAATCGAGCTGCTGGGAATGTGCCCATCTCAGCAAATTTTCCGCTCTCCTGACAGGGTGTGGATCAAGTTTTATTCATGCCAGCCCCTGATGGTTTCAGAGAACATTCAACGCTGTCGGTGAGTTTGAGAAAGTGTAAAAATGTAAACCATCGGCCGTTGACTGTACCCTGAGGCTCTTCACAGCACGAAAAAGGGGAGATAAAATTATCTTTAAGTCATGCTTAAATTTTACTACACCAATGAAAACAGTCCTAACGAGAAAAAAGGTAAGTCTTCTTGGTAATGAGATATCTGTTTGGGGAAATTACTTCGTATTAATTGACACTTTGTTTTCTGAAGAATTATGGCTTTAGAATGGGTCAGTATGTATAGCGAAGAGGAAGAACACACTGCGCTAACTAGAATGTAGGATGACTCATTTTATCAAATGTAGAATTGTATCCTAGTGGAAGAAACATTATGAATTTTGCTTTCTGGAAAGTTTACGTTATGTCAGGAGGCAGTATGATGTCACATCCTATCTACATTTAAGAATCAAATAGGGGTATTTACAATAAATTTACACAAAAAGTAAGAAGGGCTGTGCATTTTAGGCCTAACTAATAGAATTCAAAAATGACCCCAGCTCAGTTATTTCGGCCCCTTGTCAGTTCTCCACAATTTAGTGTATAATCTTAAAAGACTTCTGGTATTAACAAACACAACATGCCTTGGAATTGCCAAATCGCTAATACAAATATCAGGATGGCTACATCATATAAACCGTATCATTACATTTTAAATTCACATTTTTCTAACTGAATTTCAGAGGTTGCAATGTTGGAGCTTTAGAAAAAACACACATCGATACATGAATTTGCTGATGGAAGCACTAGACTGCATGTCAATCTCTGGTAATTACCATGTGGTTTTAAGCAAGCTGATTACAAATCATGCACTATGGTAGATCAGGGCCATCTCTAAGGTTTTCAGGTCTGCTCAATCGACAAACAAGATTAGCAGGTTTAGGATTTGTTGCTGGGAGAGAATCAGCAATGTCTCTCAATTCTGTCTCCTATTACAAGCATATTCCAAGACCAACATAATTAGGCAGTCCATAGCATCCTGCAATAATTAAGAAAAGGTAGAACAAGGAGCTCCATTCATACTACATCCACGTGCTAGGAGAAGAATAACAGAAAGTGGCTTCTACTGAGAACGCCTGCTGCCTGAAGCTGTACTCGTAGTAGCATTACATTATGAAAGAGTTAAATGGTAGCTTTAAGTGCCAATGTGGAACACATTTAAGGACATTTTCATAATTGGCAACATTTGAAAAAAAATTCCAGGAACACTTTGTGGCAACAATGTACATTAATATACACCGAATAACACTCAAAGAGATACACGCTCAGTGATACACCAACACACACACACTGAATTATGACACAAACACACATAGAAATAAAGAACGGCAGTACATTTTTATCCAACGTCCTGTGGGACCTGAGGCAGCTGTGGTGGCTTGCGCCATCGTAGTCCGTTTCCTTTTTATTCCCTCTGAAAGTTGGGAAAAGTCCCGGGACACTTTTTTTTGCTGACACAGGAGCCCGAAACATGAGACTGTCAAGTTTTAGTCAGTTCAATTAAGGCTAGATGATAATACTTACATCACCTTTAAGCTTTTCTGATACAAACTGTAGATCAGCAAATGCTCTAAATTGGATTCCCAGAAACCTTTTTTGGGATTTCTTTTCCATGAAACATGCTACAACACTATGTGTATTATACGACGAAAGATCAAACCCATTCAGACTAATTACATTTAAAATGGAACCTGATTACTTTAGGTCCAAATGGATAAACTAAATGTTTATTTGTTGTCACCACTTGTGCGAGAAATTAAAAAAGCACTGCATCTAATGTTACCTACACTTCCAACTAAAGTGGTAAGGCTTACTTCTTATAAAACTTGTAATAAAGCAAAAATTTATAAATTTAACTTGTAATAAGTTTACCATTTCACAGAAAATTTGTGGTGCATGAAAATAAGCGTCAGTCAGCCATAAATGTATATATATATATATATTTATTTGAAGCCTCATCCTAAATTAACTACAACAGTGATTGTTGAACTTGTGATACTTTAGCTATTACAGACTACATCTCCTGTAATGCTCAGCCAGCCTAGTAAAGGTTAAAGGGAAACTAGAGTCACCAACATAGCTTTTGCTTAATGAAGCAGTTTTAGTAGATATATCATGCCCCTGCAGTCTCACTGCTCAATTATCTGCCATTTAGGAGTTAAATAACTTTGTTTATGCAGCCCTAGTCACACCCCCTACCTGCATGCCACTTGCATAACCTTCCTAAACGCTTCCTGTCAAGTGAGATCTAATGTTTAAATTTCCCTTTAATGTACAGTCTGGTTAATTTAGTATTTCTTGCCCTGTTAATAGCTTGCTATCATGGTTTGTGATCAAAGTTAAATTTACAGAGCAGGAGATAAAAACTTCTGAAGTTAACATCTAATTGAAAATGTGACTTTTTTTTTTTAAAGCATGCTTTGTAAGTCACATCCAGGGAGGTGTGGCTAGGGCTGCATTGATAGAAACAAAAAAGGTTTAACTCCTGAATGGCAGATAACTGAGCAGTTAGAATTGAGACGATTTGGTGTATAGATCAGAGGCAGGATCTAAACACCAAAACTGCTTCATTCAGCTAAAGATTTTTTTGATGACTATAGCGTCCCTTTATTTGTGGAACTAGAGTATTTACGGCATGAAGTGCAGGCCCTCAATTGCCATTTATTTGTGTAAAAAAATAACTTGTTTTTTGCATGATTTAAGCTTTAAGGTAAGCTTTTTTTCACCATTTCATTTTCATTTGGAAGGCACCTCTTTATTTTGTTTTTTAAAAATACCTTTCCAGTTGGTATGGTCTCCCTTCTATGAGTGAAATAATTGACATCATGTGGTCCTATTCGATTTCTCTTATAGAATAACAAACATACAAATACAAAGTTGCAGGTAGTGGTTTTGAAACAACGCTAACCTAACACAGATGGCTGTGGATCATTACACAGTATACTTATAACCCTCTTGCTGTTGGATCTGGATGTCATATGGTGCTACAACCTACACTCCAGGAATAATGGCTGCAATCAACATTCATTGCTGTCGGTGGGTTTTAGATTAGAATAGCTCATTGATCAATGAATGCAAACTGCAGCCCTCTCTTCACACATAGAAAAAAAACAAAAAACCTCAAGACAAACTTTACTTGGTACTGTGTATAGGAAATCTCCAGCAGATGAGCAACCGAAAAGTCATGTACAGTGTGACTCGGAAGGAAAGAAGCAAAAATACATTTGAATTCAGAAAAGTTGTAAAATACAGCCAATGGTGATTAAAAAGCTCCACCTCTCAGCTTGGACATTACCCCATCTCAAGTTCTTGCAACTCTTAACAACTTTGTGATTGAAAAAGGAGTTAAAGGAACATCTCAGGCACCATAACCACTAAAGTGCCAAGAGTGCCCCTGTCCAAATGTAAGTAGTAAAACTGTTTGCCAACAGTTTGACTTTGTACCCGCAGTCTGCTGAGCAACACTCTCTGCTCCTTCCTTTCTGTTGCTAAGAGCCAAACATGACATGAGAGGGTCCAGTTCTCCCTGAGGCTTTGAGAAGCGAGTGCCTGGCAGAACCCAGGTAAGAAGTCAAAACGTTCGCAAACAGCTTGATAGCTTAGCTTGGGGTGTGGTGCTTGGGCACTTTTGGCACCATAACCACTACAGTGGTTTTTGTACTTTAAGTGTTCCTTTAATGGAGAACTGTAATTTCTCTTGAATTTATTCTTCCATTAAACACTGAAAATCACCTGTAATTAATGCTAACCTTTTTCATTGATGTTCTGTTTTCGTTAAAAAATTGTATATTAAATTATATTAATGAATAATCAAATTACGTTATAATCCCTTGCAGTAAAGACACAGCCATATCACACACTGCAACAAGATTCTGTATGCCTTCTGTACGATGACTTCCCAGTGCAAAGGTCAGAGCTTTTAACAGTGATTGGCAGAGAGCTAGGATGGTGTTGCAGGATAAAAAAAAGTGTTGATTTCTCTATTTAACAAAAAATTTTAAAACTTAAAATTACATATTTAATAGTTAGAAATAGGGTATAAGTACGTGTGATATTATAATTTCTGGGAAATGACAGTTTACCTTTAAGAAAAGTTAAGAGTGCTACATGCTTGATTTAAGATGTTTTCTAGAGTAAGCTGTTTTTTGTTAACTGTATTGTCTATTTATAATGAAAATATCATGTCATGTATCCAGAAAACTCTGAGAAATAAAAAGTATGTGACCTGTGTCTTACTAAATGAAAATACAAAGCCGCTTACAGTTATTAAGGGTGTTTGAAATTAAAACATTTCCAAATCATGTCTTTTTTTTTCTCCCTTTAAATGTATTTTATTGTGATCACGGCTTGCTCATTTGATTACCATTTGCTACATCAGATCATCGTAGATTGTAAACTTGTACGAGCATGGCCTTCTTTACCACTAGCTAGCCCTTTTTTTGGTCACTCAATAAACCCATTAATTTTGTTATAGTAGCAGTGATATTTAACTTTAACTGTGCTCTTTAGTGGCCCTACTCTCTACCTGGCCAGGATCGCTGCTTTTGTTAGGACAAAATGTTAATTTTTCCGACACTTATTTTTATGTAAAACATAACTAAACATATAAATAAGTGTTTATTCACAAGTATATATTATCTAAGCAACATATTTTGAACAGCATACCTACCAGAACAAAATATACGTCCTGACAATGGGAGGTATGGTTTTGTGAAAGGGATCTGCAGGTCAACCCATAAAGTGAGCTGACTTCCTGACAAGGAGGCGTATCATACTGGCACGCAGGCAAGCCACTCTGGCCATGTTCAGATTTACATACCAGGTAACTGTAGGCACAAAATTATAAGGCACCCTCGGCACCCCAGTCCAAACAGGGGCAGATAAAGCAAGTATAATTAACTGAAAACCATATATTCATATTTGACAAATGCATATGTGTAAATGTATGCAACGTGCATATGTCTGCTTGTAATGTATTGAGTTTGAGTCTGTGAGTATAGCGAGTGTATGCAGCTGTGTAAATGTAACGTTAAAAGTGGTTAGGGTACAGGGGGTTTAAGGTTGTAGAAGAGTGAAAGGGAAACTATAGTGCTTGTAAAACAAACTTGTTTTCCTGGCACTATAGCTCCCCCCTCCCTCTCGTTCCCCCAGCCCCTCTTCTGTCATGTTCCTCAGCGCTGGCTTGGGTTCGCCTTCGCTCATCGGCAATGACTACACTTGTATTAGGATTTCCCTGTAGGAAAGCATTATACAATGCTTTCATATGGGGATTCAGGTGACGCTGGAAATACTAATGCATAGCGCCCAGAAGCCCCTCTAGAGGTGGAGATGACCCTGAAAGGTAATTATTGCAGTTTCTTAAAATTACAATAATTACCTTTGCAGGGTTAAGGGACCCAGGACACTGCATCCAGATCACTTCAATATGCAAAAGTAGTATGGGTGCCCAAAGTGTCCCTTTAAGGTGACTTAGATAACACAGGATGTAAAGTATTAAGAAGATTAAACGCTTGAGCGCTGTTAAAGTTGTGGTATAGGGGCTTTTAAGGATTATTGGTTTTAAGGTTAGAGTAGTGTTACATTTAGTATTTGGGTAAAGGGGGGTGGTTTAGGATAGTATAGTGTTAGAGTGGGGTCTAATATTAGGTTACACGAGATGTTTTGTTTTAGAAACAGTTAAGCTAAAGTTTTTTTTTCAGGTTTAGGCACGGAGTGCTGAAATTTGGGACTGAGGATTGAGTTTCTTTACATTTTGGAAGGGGTTAAATGCAGGGTTAGGGAAAAGGGATGTTTAGGGCATATGGAGTTTGAAAGGTTATTTACAAAGTACTCAACTCCTATATCTTCTGTAGACCAGTTAGTCTCCTAAAATTGATAAAAGAGCTACAGTAGTTATGCAGAGTACACTACTTATTGCTTCCCCTCCGCCTTCTGTAATGCACTTCCTGTGTCAGAGGTTACTAGTGTGCTGATGGGAAATGACCCCTTCCTTTTCCTTTCTAGCCCAAACACACAGACACTAAAGGGGACAGCACTACATTTTACACCCTCTAAAACTATTCCTGCAGCTCTGCTATTAAGGCTGGCTGGACTTCTCTCTCACCACCATCCCATTTAAGTTCAAATGGCACATAGGTAGTGAAAACAGGCACCTGTAGGCAGGTGGCTTCTCTGCCAAATGGGAAATCATCCCCTGGGCCAGCCCATAGTAAGGCATATTATGTGTCAATCACTGCTGAGCTGTTTTGGGAATAGATTTACTCTGAGATTACTCTGCACAGTACGAGTGTGTTTATTAATGGGCTTGTATTGTGTTCCCTTATGTCCCCAAATTCAGGATATCAGGGAACAAACCCCAGGGGGCAGGACTGTTGGGAGACACATTAATGATGACACATTAAGACATGAGAGCACAAAGTCACTAGGGCCCTGCTTATATGAGCTTCCAGTGACAAAATATTTACTGCAGATTTTAAAAGGCACATAACTAATACAGATTTATATACAGTTTATATTGCCTAGAGTCCCCTCCCCTAGTTTGATATAAACTAAGACTCGTATAGGCACACAGGGATGCATTATTTTACCATTTGGTCACATTGATAATAGGAAATTATCCATCAATGTCAATGTCAATTTTGTCCAACCTGAATGACTCCGATTGGCTGAGAGAACTAGGGCAAACATGCCTCTAGCCCTCCTAGCCAATAAAAGTCAACTTAGTTGTGGAAATAGCCTGTTTTTAAATCTTTCAGGAAGATTTCATTGCAGCATTCATACCAAAGGATTAGAGAAGGCCAGATGTGGTGCCTATATTTATAAAGGATTACAAATTTTAACCTGGAAATTACATCCCTGTAAATTTTTAAAATCTGTGGCTGGGAAATTATTTAAATGGTTGTTGATGACCTCAATTTAAAGGGTTACTTCTACCCTTAAACACCTTTCAGATTACAATGGCCTATAGGGCATATATAGGCAACGCTAACCTACTGTTCTAGAGTGATAAGTTGCCTACCCACAATTTGATGTGACACTACTTACTATCTGCTGTTTTGTTTTATTAGTTATTATAATTTCTGTCAACTCTCCCTATTTAAATTTGAGCATTGCAGCAGTATTGAGTCATTTAAACTCCAGTGGTTTTCCTATGTTAGGTATTCTTATACCAGTTATCCTAGCATCTGCCTCATGTAGATTCATCTGATTATTCTGTTTGAAGCATTTGTAACCGCTCTAACAGGTATTTTATATCAAACTTACATTTCTTATATTAAAAAAAAAAGGGATTACTTACATACTCAGACTACTGTATAACTTAGAATTAGTGTTACCTCTGTTTAACAAACTGACATTCTGATACCTTGTTATTGTCATTCTGTGCTAAAATCTCATTAAAAGAAAGATTGACAAAAAAAAAAAAAGTCAATTATCAGTGTTTGCAGATGACAAAATAAGGTAAGGGTAACTACGTTACTGCAGGACAGTACTTCTCTACAAATTAATTTGGATAAATGAGGGGACTGAATAGGAATCAATATATATAAATGTACAGTTGAGCATTTTGGGATACATAACCAACGTATAACATAAATTGGATTTAGTTAGGGATAATGTTAAATGATAAGGACTTAGGAATAGTTATTGAGTATAGAATAGGCAACAGTGTGCAATCTCAGGCTACCATTGCAAAGGCCAGTAAGGTGCTGTTATGCATAATTCACATGAAAAATATATTTATAAATTTGCTTTTATAAACCAATGGTTCGATTCCATCTTTAAAACCAAAATTGCACAAAATGTTTAAGTAGAACATTATAGAACTGCAGAGGTGGACCACAAAATGAATACGGCAAATGGAAAATGTAAGTTATGGCAAAAGACTAGAAAATCTGTATGTTTTCTTTATTGAAAAATAAACAATTTTTTTTTTTTAGAGATATGACATCACCCATAAAAACTTCCAAGCAATTTCACGTACAACAGAGGGAAAGCTTTTATATATGTAAGAACAATCAAGTTGTGGAATTATCTGCCCAAAGAGGTTGGTTTCTATTAATATTTTCTTTTTTTTTAATTCAATAAATTTTTGGGGAAAAATTTGAAGGAGCACTATAGGGCCAGGAACACAAACATGTATTCCTGAACCTATAGGGTTAAAACCACCATCTAGCCACCCTGGTCTCCTCATGCCTCCCTAAATATAGCAAATCTTACTTGTATTCAAGTCTGCAGCTGCATGCTTTTGTGCCTGTTTCCTTTAGACCTGCCCACTGCCTGCTGACATCATCAGAAGTGGTAGCCTGATCCAATCACAATGCTTCCCTATATGATTGGCTGAGACTGACAAGGAGGCAGATCAGGGGCAGAGCCAGCATGATTCAAACACAGCCCTGGCCAATCAGCATCTCCTCAAAGAGATGAATTTAATCTATGAATCTCTATGAGGAAAGTTCAGTGTCTGCATGCAGAGGGTGGAGACACTGAATGTTTGGATGCATTTTAGGCAGCCATGACCCAGGAAGGATCTCTAACAGCCACCTGAGGAGTGGCCAGTGAAGTTATCACTAGGCTGTAATGTAAACACTGCATTTTCTCTGAAAAGACAGTGTTTGCAGCAAAAAGCCTGAAGGTAATGATTCTACTCACCAGAACAAATTCAATAAGCTGTAGTTGTTCTGGTGACTATAGTGTCCCTTTAAATATTCAAGGATATAATAAGGGAACAGTCAATAAATCCAAGGAAAGATTTGATTGCCGTTATGGAGGCAAAAAGCATTTTAAGTCTTCATTTGGATTTTAAGTCTTCATTTAAATTAACATAAAAACATCTTTGAAGGTCAAACTTTACGGCATGGGTGTCCAACCCGCGGCCCGGGACCGATAGCAGTGTGGCCTGTTTGCAGTCCATGCTGCCGGGCACAGAGGGAGGAAGGGAGCCCATTCAGTGGCGTGGGGGGCAGCAGAAGTATAATTACAGAGGTGGGCAATAACGCAAAGTCAAGATGCTCTGCCCTCACGGTGTTCTGAGCAGAAGCGCTCTGACACTCTGTGCAGGAAGCGCCGCAGCAGGAGAGTCTGGATTCCGGATCAGCAGGGAGCAGCAAGCAGGTGGATGAGCAGAGTAAGTGCTTGCTAATATTGTGTTTTGTTTAAAAGTTTTTTTTTAGAGCAGAGTTTTTGTGAAGGGGTTTGTAGGGGGACAGTGTTTTTTTTTTTAGAGGGGGAGACAGGGTTTTTTGTAGAGGGGGCATAGGTATCTTTGTAGAGGGGTAGACAGGAGTCTTTGTAGACGGGGCAGGAGTTTTTGTGAATGGGAGTGGAGGGGGTGGGCAAAGGTCATGAAGAGGGGGTGAGCAGGGTTTATTGTAGAGGGGGGACTGGGCAGGGGATTTTGTAGAGGGGGGACTGGGCAGGGGATTTTGTAGAGGGAGGGGCAGGGTTTTTGTGGAGGGGCAAGGGGATTTGTATAATGGGACTGGGCAGGGGTTTTGAAGAAGGTGGAGGGATTGTAGAAGTGGGACTGGGCAGGGATTTTGTAGAGGAGGGACTGGGCAGGGGATTTTATAGAGGGATGGGGGTTAGAATGTTTTTCATTGCCTACTACTTTTTGTGGAGGGGCAAGGGGATTTGTATAATGGGACTGGGCAGGGGTTTTGAAGAAGGTGGAGGGATTGTAGAAGTGGGACTGGGCAGGGGATTTTGTAGAGGAGGGACTTGGCAGGGAATTTGTAGAGGGGGACTGGGCAGGGGATTTTGTAGAGGGATGGGGGTTAGAATGTTTTTTTCATTGCCTACTACTTTTGTGGTAGGAATTAAAAAAAATAATAATTAGAAAACACAAAAAATAGTGGGTGTTTTTTTATGGGGGCAAGGGATTTGTAGAAGGGGGGACTAGGCAGGGGTTTTGTAGAAGGGGGACTGGGCAGGGGTCTTTGAAGAGGGGGGTTATAATGTTTTTTTTTCATTGCTTACTACTGTGGTTAAAAAAAAAATAGAAAACATTAAAAAAAAAATGTTTACAAAAAACAGTGGGTGTTTTTTTACATTTGAATTGGGGAAGGGGAGTGCCAAAAGCTCTAGGTATGCCTCTGAGCCCTACTGCACAGCTTCATCACCGCCCAGCAATGAGCTGTCCGCCGGAATATGACGTTCTCCCAGCATCTCTGCTGGGCACACGAGGGACCTATGCATGAAGAGCACAGAGATCCCAAGCTCCAGCCCAGCAGCAACCACTGGCCACCAGGAAGAGGATCCACTCCAGTGCTCCCAGAGCAAGTTAGGGAGGCTGGGTAGACCTCTTTAGGATTAAATGTGTGTGTGTGCAAATTTTGTGTATGTTTTGTCTTTGAGCGTGTGTGTGTGTGTGTGTGTAAGTTTGTGATTATGTGTGTGGGTCTTTGATTGTGGGTGTGTATATCTGAGATTATGTATGTGTGTGTCTGTATGTGATTGTGTGTATAGGTGCTATTGAAATAATTTTGTATGTGATTGTATGTGTGTCTGATTATGGGTGTATGTATGTATGTATGTGATTGTGTGTGGGTGTCTGTTTGTGTACATTTGTGATTGTGTGTGTGGGTCTGTGATTTTGTGTGTGTTTATTTGTGATTGTGTGTCTAGGTCTGTGATTGTATGAGTGTGTCGGTGATTATGTGTGTATAGATTTGTGACTGTGTATAGGTCTGTGATTGTGTGTGTATCTGTGGTTATGTGTGTATATGTATACACATGTGTATGTGTTTAGTAGATAGCTCCCTAATTTGATATCCTTATATACATTATCTATACTCTATATTATATATTTGATGTGTGTCCCAAGACAATTCAGCTAGATTACTATGTAACTATGGAGGCTGTAAAAGTTTAGATTGATAATGCATTAATTCCACATTACCAATACAGCCTTGATAGGGTTCCCAAACAAGCCACAGTTCCTATCAAACTCTTCAGGATTATACTGAAGACACAGATACCAAGCCCTCAAAAACACATCATTATATACACCCACACCGTGCACACTGCAACTAAAATGGGAAGTATAGAACTTTAAAAGCATTCTGCAGATAAGATGCCCTGAGCGGGGCTTATCAATGCATCAGCTAGTCTGGCATGCATTACAAATGTATTCAAAAGAGACCACTTTTTTTAATTTATTTTTTTAAACATTCTGATGTGCACGTAAAACACTGCAGTTCTGAAATGAGTCACATGCAACAGCCATGCACGGCTATCAAGTGTGGCACAATTTTGTTAAAAAGTGGCAGCAATTCCCATTTTCTTATGTAAAATGTAAATGAGAATATTGGATAATTTAAAACATTTTATAGTCTTTGCAATTGAATCTTGAATGCAAAAAAACCTTAGAGGTAGTATAACCAATATTGGCTTAAACAATATTCTCAATAAAAATGTCTATGGCGACAATAAAAAGTGTCAGCCAATTTAGGGGATGAATATCTAACAGGGTCATTAAATAAAGTGAGAATTGCCAGGAATTCAAAGTGAATTTGAAATTAAAGATCAAAATACACTATATGGACAAAAGTATCATTACACCAACAGAAACTTTTATGACACCGCATTCTAATTAAATAGATATTAATATGAAGTTGTCGTCCATCTGTTGCAGCTATAAATGTTTCTGGGAAGGCTTTCCACAAGATTCTGGAGGAATTTAGCCAGTCAAGTTATTTCATACCAAACTCATCCAGCCATGTATTCATGGACTTGCTTTATGCACTAGGATAGAAAAGGGCCATGCTGGAATAATAAAGGGCCTCCCCCAACTGTTTGCACAAAGTTGGTAGCATAGCTGTTTCCATAATGTCTTGGTATGCTGAAACATTAAGATTTTCCTTCACTGGAAGAATGTTGCTTAGCCCAACCACTAAAAAATAGGCCTATACCATTATCACTCCAATACCAAACGTTACAGTTGGCACAATGCAGTGAGGCAGGTAACGTTCTCTGGCATCTGTCAATCTCAGACTTGATCATTAAACTGTCAAACAGAGAAGCGTGATTTGTCAGTCCATAGAACACATTTCCACTGCTCCAGAGTCCAGTGGCGGATTGCTTTTTAAACATTTAATGTGACACTTGGCATTGTACTTGATGATGTGAGGCTTGCATGCAGCGGCTCTGCCATGAAACCCTCCAGAAGGTGGGACTGATAAGTGGGTCATCAATTGCCCACTCAATTTTTCCTTTATTTTTATTTTAAAAAATCCACTTAAAAAAAAATGTAATTGCTCATGTTGCTGCTCATTAGATGATATGGACAAACTGACCAGTCAGGCACTGTCATGGAGCAGAGCCTGGTGGTTTGACAAGTGTGCCGTTGGTGTTTGGCCCCTGCATGCAGTCTACACCAATCCAATGCCAGGGGGAGTGAGACTGATATCTTGTGGTTAACACCTCCAACTAGAGGCACCCAGTCTACATTATTTTAATTAAGTGGTCTGGGTGCAGTCACCCTATAGTTTTAACCCTGCAATGAATGTAAAACACTGCAGATTTGTAGAAACTGCAATGTTTCCACTGGAGGCTTAACACACCTCTAGTGAGCCGTTGTCCTTACAGCCACTAGAGGAGCTTCAATGTTGAGAACCAACTCATACTCTATTCTTAATCAAATGCTGCTTCTACAGCAGCGTGGCAATTTGCTGCACATACACACTAGTCTTCCAATTTTTCCCTACAGGGAAGCATTGGTTTGGCTTAGATCATAAATACTGATGATTACAGAATAGGAGAGGGGTTACGTAGAGAGCAGTATGGCGATAAAGAAGAGGTGAGGAAATCTAAATTTTTCATGCACTTGCAGCTACAGGACACTATAGCTCTACGAATTATCTTTGTATTCCAAACGCTGTAGTTTTCATTTAAATGAATACAGAACTATATTAGGATTACATTTTTACAAAAATGTGTGTATACACATTGCATCAAAAGTCAAAGGAAGTTAAAATGTTACAAACAAATACAATCAGAGAACAAGTAGGCCTGCAAAGCAATACATGAAGGACATATTAGAGTAAAGTTACACTGACCCCTGGTGTTCACTTTCTGGTTACTGCATATAACTTATCTCCAACCTCAATGTATATATCTTGTTATACTGAGAATATAAACATGTTTACTTGGTCATACAGCACACGCATCTACTTAAATTACTAAAAACAAAACAAAAAATCTTTACGCACCATAGACACAGCGACTCATCCATGTGGTAGAATATGGGTTACATTTTTTCCATATCTGCTCATAAGACAGGTGTTTTAAATGTAGTCAATTTATTTTGCATTGGTCAGAATTGCTTTATTAATATACCCAGTAAAATCACAATTAATTAACATTAACAAGCAATATACTAAATATTATTGTGCCAAAAAACAAGTTAAATAAACATAAGCAAGATACAATGTTTTCAAAGTAAACATGAAGAAACTTTATGCTGGGAAACTGTTTTAAAAAACAGAAAATGAGGAGAGAGGTGCTCCCCATACCTTCTGAAAATTAGTTTTGTAGAGTACAAATGCAATTCAAAGATCATTATATGGGGGAAATATGCAAAGATAATATTTCATGAAAGACTTGTTTCAAGTAAGTCCCAGGACATACTTGAAAACCAGAGTAAGCTGAATGTACCTTTCCTGGTAAAATACTTTATTATAATTTTAGTTGGTTCAAGATCCCATTACAGCCAAATTAAATTTCTGGCTATGATTATTAATTTACACAGATGATAATACATTGCAAAGGGCAGTTCTCTTTCTTTGATTTAAATCTTGGCATTGATAAAGTATGTCACCATTCCAACACAATCTGCTGCTGACTATAAACTGTATTCCAATGTCAAAGATGGGTAGTTTTGAAAAACTTTGCCTTTAACCCACTAGAGGGTGCTGCTGAACTTTGTAGCTTGACACAAACATTAATATTTCAATGTGACCGATGTTAACAGTTTGTTCCCTATGGCGCTCTTAACTAATTTTTTTTCAGGATCACAACACACTTCAGTGGACAAAACATTTCCAAGGTGCACCAACTTGTTTTCATTTTACATTTATCTGTATCTTAAATTTACAAGATAGATATGAATAATTCTAGTTAAACTAATTCATTTAGACTGCGAGATGGAAATTGTTAAAATGTTAATGCATACACATTAAAAACCACACACACATATTTTATAAACCACATTGAATCTAACACACACAGATATAAATGGCATACTTTAAGAGTGGATTGAGGCACATTGGCCAAAAAGAAGCTGGCAACGTCGGTCAGATTTTGAGAAAACATAAATACTGTAAAAAAGGTTATGCATTCAGTGAATTGTCTCAATTCATATTTAGCCACACATAGAACAAAATGCTTTAGTAAAACTGAACTAAAACAATATACAGCACGAGTACTAAATACAATATAGCAGCTCTTTATAATTATAGAATATGGAAATGTAATCTTATTGTGAAACATTTAATACTTAGGAAACCTTTGTTCACATCTCAAGCATTCTCCTATTACCAATTTTGGGAGATTAAAGGGATACTGTAGTGCCAGGAGTACAAAGCTGTATTTCTGGCACTATTGATCCCTTTGCCTACCCCCCTCATCGGCGCTGGGTCGAAGCTCTGCACTCTCCCCCGTCCCGGGACAAGCGGGGTCTAATGAGCACGCACGGCAATTGTCGCACACACATTATACCTCCTCATATGAAAGCATAAAGATAACGGACCAAAAGTCCGTTACGATTCCAGAAGCGCCCACAGTGGCTGTCTGATAGCCACTGAGGGAAGACTTAGTGCTGCAATGTAAACATTGCAGTTCTCTGGAACTGCAATGTTTAACATTACAGCACTAGGTGCAAAAGGGACACAGCACCCAGACCACTTCAATGAGCTTAAGTGGTCTGGGTGCCTTCAGTGTCCCTTTAATGTAGAGGGCTTTTAGAATGAACTCCAGGCTCATACCTTTTATTTATTAATTTTAAAAGACTGCTGTGTCGTAGCAGTATGTATTTGTAGTGTCTCAGCTTTAAAATACTGCACATATTGGGTTATCTGCATTTGCATTCTGGGGGCTGATTGCATCCACAGCATGTGACACATGCCACACGTGCGCTTGCAACAGGAAAATTGCTATCCCTCCCTTTTCCCACTGTGTGCTCCCTTTGCTGAACAGTATTAAAAAATAAATAAATACCTAATTCCCTGGCCCAAAGTGCATGCATGAGAAGCCTGAGATTGGACCGCACGAGGCTCCTGTGACATTAGAGGGGGCGAGGAAGTCAGCACCGGGGGCTTTGCTCAGTGCTGGATGTCAGGTACAGTTAAATCCTTCCAATAAGATTTGGGATGCTGAATGTCGGGTAAATTTAAAACCTTCTAATAGGGTTTGGGAGGCAGGGGATCTAATATTAATGCCCTATTCAATATGGTAATCTAAAACGGAAATGGTTTGTTTAAAGCATAGGAGTAACCTTTTTAAAGCAAGGCCATTATCCTTTAACAACCCTTCAATAATTTCCCAGCCACATATTTTAAACTTACAGGGCTGCAATTTGTAATCCTTTTTAAAATGCACCACATCTGCTTTTCTCTAATCCTGGAATATTTGAAAATAGTTTGGCTATTTCCACAGCTAAGTTGACATTTGTTGGCTTTGAGGGCTAGAGGCATGTTTGGCCTAGCTCTCTCAGTCTGTTAGTGTCAATCAGGTTGGACAAAATTAACATTGATATTGATAGACAATTTACCATTATCAATATGACCAAATGGTGAAATAATGCATCCTGGGGTGTCTTGAAAAGTCTTAGTTTATATCAAACTGGGGGAGGGGACTATATATAACCAGCACATTAATCTGTAGTAGTTATGTGCCTTTTAGAATCTTCAGTAAATAATATTTTGTCACTGGAAGCTCATGTAAGCAGGGCCCTAGTGACTTTGTGCTCTCATGCCTTCATTTGTCATTATTCATGTGCCTCCCAACAGTTCTGCCCTCCAGTGGTAGGCAGGACAAAACTCAGGCACCCCCCTCCCCCAGCGCCACCTCCCTCCCCCAGCGCCACCCCCACCCAACCCTTCCCCCCCGCCCCACCTTCTAAATACACACACACAAACAGTCAAACACAAACACACAGTCAGGCGCACACACACACACACACACACACAGTCAGGCACACATACACACACAGAGTCAGAAACAAACACACACAGTCAGACACAAACACACACACACAGTCAGACACAAACACACACACACACACACACACACAGTCAGACACAAACACAGTCAGACACACACACACACTCACATCAAAAATGTTTTTCTTTTTATTTAACCCCCCCCCCAGCCTCCTTACCTTTGGGAGTGCTGGGGGGGATTCCTCTTTCTCCCTGGTGGTCCAGTGGCTGCCAGTCGGGCTGGCAGACGGGCGGCACTGGCGAGGGAGCTCTTCCTCTGAGCTGACTGCTCAGCTCCCTCGCGCGCCGCAGAGTGTGGTTGGGAGCCAGGTTGATGACGTCATATTCCTCCTCCCAGCCTCACTTTGCGGCGCGCGATGGAGCTGAGCAGCTCAGAGGAAGAGCTCCCTCGCCAGCCGCCCAGCGCCCGGCATGTCTGTTAGCCACAAGGCTAACAAGACATTTGCCCTGGGCATTTCGGGGCGGCATTTTTTGCCGCCCCCTGAAAAATGCCGCCCAAGGCAAATGCCTTGTTTGCCTCGCAGCTAATACGCCCCTGCTGCCCTCCGGGTTTTTTTCCTGGATATCCTGAATTTGTTGACGTAAAAATGTCTGCAGAAAACACAGTACATTGCTTTCTAATTATAGAATGGGGAAATGTACTCTGTTATGAAACTGTAGACAGATTAAGTTAATGTAATCTTTAGAATAGCCTTAGTCACATCTCAAGCTTTCTACTATTAGCCTTACTGGCAGGGGGAGGTCAATGTAGGGGCTATTAGAATGGCAGCTCCTGGCCCATGCATTTTATTAATTCATTATGAAATAGACTGCAGTCACTACAGTAGCTCTCCACTCATTAAAGGGTTACTCCAACCACCATGACCACTTAAGTGATTTGAAGTGGTCATGGTGGTAGGAGTATGTATGTGTAGTGTTTACTCTTGAAACACTGCACATACTGAATTAATCTGCACCAGTGTGCAGGAGAGCTAGTTTTACCAACAGCACATGAAATTGGCAGCCCACCCCCCTCAAAAACGTTTAAAGGACCACTATAGTGCCAGGAAAACATACTCGTTTTACTGGCACTATAGTGCCCTGAGAGTGCCCCCACCCTCAGGGACCCCCTCCCGCCCGGCTCTGGAAAGGGGAAAACTTACCTTTTTCCAGCGCTGGGCGGAGAGCTCTCTGCCTCCTCTCCTCCTCTGTTCCGCCCCGTCGGCTGAATGCGCACGCGCGGCAAGAGCTGCGCGCGCATTCAGCCGGTCGCATAGGAAAGCATTTATAATGCTTTCCTATAGACGCTGGCGTGCTCTCACTGTGAAAATCACAGTGAGAAGCATGCAAGCGCCTCTAGTGGCTGTCAATGAGACAGCCCCTAGAGGAAATAGGGGAAGGCTTAACCCATTAATAAACATAGCAGTTTCTCCGAAACTGCTATGTTTATTAAAATATGGGTTAATCCTAGCTGGACCTGGCACCCAGACCACTTCATTAAGCTGAAGTGGTCTGGGTGCCTAGAGTGGTCCTTTAAGTAATCCTTTAAGCATGAGAATTTGTATTTATATATTTAGGAACAGGAGCAAGTGGTGACTGGTGAAGTTTTAATATGGTGAGGCATCAAACTCCGCCTATGGAATCTCATTCCACCCTCTCTGGAAACTCCATCTCTTAATCTATTAAACTCATAGAAAGTATCAAAATAGCAGTTGACCAAAAAAAGAAATATATAGATTTCATTTGTTAAACCCTTTGCATTGTATGTATGAATTTTGTACAGGCTTGTTATGCGGATGCAGAAAACACCAAATTTCATCTACAGTTCCAGAGTGTATACACATGATTTATTTATTTACATCTACCATGTTTTTGTAAATTTATAGGAGCATATTAGAAACCGGTCTATTCACTTGTCAAACTGGAATTTTGTCCAATTGATTTGCTTGGAAATCTTGGGGCATTTCAAATGACTTTAAACAACCAGGGACTAATGAGAGTATTTAGAAAATTGGGCAGACTAGTTGGGCCGAGTGGTTCTTATCTCCCGTGATATTCTATGTTTCTATACTATTTGTAAAAGAAAACACCTTAAGGACTTTCAAATCAATTTAAAATGGTGTATTGTTCTATAATAATGACTTTTTTGACAAATTTGCTTCAAAGCTGTGTAAACATTTTTTTTTCACATTGCATCGTTGATTTGCTTTTCATAAACCTGTGTACACTTCTGTAGTAAAAATCTCTAAATTGTGCTCAGATAGGCCCAACAGATTATTGATGTTGGTATGTGTGAAGGCTTGTGTTGCTACAGAAAACCAAATTAGAGACCTGCTCTTTTCATTTGTTTTCAAAGTTACTGCATTGATGCTGAGTTTAGCTTATATTTTAGGGTAACTGCAAAAGTAGACAATTGGGGTATCTCACATTGTGTATATTGGGGCCATTTAAGTATTAAACAGTACTGTAATTACACTGTGCAGCATTTTTCTTTGACAAATCTTTCCAAGTTTTAAAAGTTAATAAAGAAGTCAGTGAGCCTTTCAATACAACACAAAATGTCCAATTTTGCAGATCGATTACAGAGAAAAGCCACTGGTACGCATGAGAATTTATTCTTAGTATGGATTTCCTTTAAATGTATCGAGGTGGTCTGACTTACCGAATATTAGGCTCCCTTTAAATCCCTCAGCCTGAAGATCAGATCTGTTTCCTGCTAAAAAAAAACAGAAGACACAGAATACATTATTAAAGAAGGGTACACTAAGTTTAACTTATTTCTCCTGCATTAAATTAAACTCAGAACAAGGGATGTCCACTTGCCTTCTAGGATTTGCAATGGGTAGTTGAGCCCTGCTAATCTGGCCTGTGTAACTTGCTCTATGTCACTCATGGCTGCAGGTGAGAAAGACAATGAAAGTGGAAATCTTGAGTGTCCAGGGTCAGAGCAGCTACTGGCAGAAATGAGGTGTGTTAGATGTAGCAATCAGTAAATCTCTATAGAGCTCATATTGTCATGGCTGCACAGAGCTGCACTGATAGCTGTACACTTTATGCATGAGACCTTGAGAAAGGACCGGGAGCAGGTCCGAAGTGTTGATGCTACACAAATAAAGCTTTTTACTTTTTCCAATTAATTAAGACCTACGAGTGCCCACTTTCCTTCGAATATATTTCAAGTTATATATGTCAAACTAAGTGTATTTTTATATTAAAATAAAATAATATATATAAAAATAAATATAAAAATACACTTAGAATGAAAGTACACACACACACACACACATATATATATATATATATATATATATATATATAAAAATAAAAATACATTAAAGTGCCACTATAGTGCCAGGAAAACAAACTTGTTTCCCTGGCACTATAGGGTCTTTAGGTCCCCCCTACTCTCAGGGTCCCACTCCCGCTGGGCAGAAGGGGGCTGGAAGGGGTTAAACACTCACCTTTCTCCAGCACCGGCTCCCTCGGCGCTGGGGAACTCTCCTCCCTCTGCCGACGTCAACGCGCGCATTCAGACAGTCCATACGACGTCCAGCGTCTTCTCACTGTGATTTTCACAGTGAGAAGCGTGGAAGCACCTCTTGCGGCTGTCAATGAGACAGCCACTAGAGGCTGGATTAACCCTAGTGTAAACATAGCAGTTTCTCTGAAACTGCTATGTTTACAGCTGTAGGGTTAACACTAGATGGACCTGGCACCCAGACCATTTCATTGAGCTGAAGTGGTTTGGGTGCCTATAGTGGTCCTTTCATTTCAAAAATTGTTTAAATTTTTGTAAAAAAAATATATGTACGCATGTACACTTAGAATGAAATTGTGTATATATATATATATATATATATATATATATATATATATATATATATAAAAACATATATACAAGTAGACTTAAAAAAAAAAATATATCATCAATACAATGTTTCTCCTTGACTTCCACCTGACCAGACCTTTGTTTTAATTTCTTTTAACTTTGATATTCATTTTTTAATATGTTAATATAAACAACCTCAAAGACCATCATCTCTTTCTAAAATATGACATGTTCATTTTGACTTGCAATATTATATGCCATACCAATGGTTGTAAACATACATTTATATTCCCCTGTTTGACTGAAGTGCTACATTTTCTTATGGTATTTTTAATATTATTATTGTTATTGCAAAATGTATCAATAAAAATATTTGAAAAGAAAAAATTTCTACGTGTATATTTATGTTATATTTTCATGTAACCTTTTTACAATTATCTGACTTTACTAATTACAATTTAAGTGACCTGTCTGACAACCCAGGCAGAAAGTCCAGAGAATTAATTTGCTAGCTCTATATTTAACCCTGTAATGCCCAAAACACCATAAAACATATCACGATGATGATATCATTAGTGAAAGTGCAGTTTTGTGGAAATTCATAAATATGAATGCTAACTTTGTCCAGGGTTTGTGATTAAGTGGCTACTACGGTAAAAAGGACATACTCCAGTTTGAATACCTTGGGTTTTACACTTTCACAAATGGTATGCCATGATGGGGTAATTTTCAATCCTGAGCTACTATTCGGTCTCAAAGGCAACATAACCAATCTGGCAAAATTCCACTGTGTAAAAACTGGAAAGGGGGAAGCCCTATATTTGATCCTGTAACTTTCCAAAACACCATAAAACCTGCACAAGGGTGTACCGTTGTACTCGTGAGATGTTGCTGAACACAAATATGTGTATTTTATTGCAGTAAAAGCTAACAGTATTATGACATTTACATTTAAAATGCCACGCAGAATTAAGAAAATAAAAAAAAATCTTGATTTCTCACACCTTTTTAATTTTCTTTCCTATACAATTATTTTTCATATACAAATATTTGCCAAGAAATGAAAGCCCCATTTCTACTGAGCAAAATGATATATAATAAGTGTGGGTGCACTTGATATGAAAGAGGTGAATTATGGATGAGCAGGCATATAGTCAAATTCTTGCATTTGTTTTGATTTTGTTTTGATCAGAACATGTACAATTGCCTCCCTCCTGAAGGGGTTAATATATTTGTTTTGTTAAATTATTAATTTTTTTTTTTTTGTCAAACCATTAGCAATATTTTAGATTCTTACCTAGCTTGATATACTAAGCCCATGCCATTTCTGGTAGCAATGTGGTTACAATCTCAGTGCTGGAGATACGGCTCAGCACTTTTCTATATCATACAGTATAGGCTGAACGCACACAGAAAGAAAATCCTTCTAATGTTTAACCTGGCACGGGTCAGCTCCTCCTGTCCTGCAGGGGGTTAAGTCAGAGGTCAGCAGATGGTCAATAGCACTATACCTGCTTGGTGTGGATCTGTTTCCACATATGCAGAGTGGCCAGATGGCAAGAGTAACTCTTAGATCAGGACGTTTACAGCTGCTGATCATAGGCTACTGCTTCCCTACAGCTGTAACTTACACCTGCCCACATCTGGAACAACTTATCAGCAAATTACATATAAAATAATAAAAAAAAGGCAACTGTAAAATACAGTAGTCTGATAAAGGTCAAGAGAGACTGAGTTTTGTTTTTGTTATGGTATGAAAAATAAAACACCCAACTTACATATAGAATACCCAAAAACCTAACCTACTGTTCCTGTATGCCATATAGGTTTTGTTAGAATTAAATGTTTGTCTTGTTTACGCAGCACTGTGGAATTTGTGAACGCTATATAATGGTAATTGTAATTAAATGGTATAAACAGAAATATTTAGGGAAAAAAAGGTTTTACACATGGGGAAATGCCATTGAAGAAGAAAAAATACTGCTGCAACAATATAATATTAAATTAAATTAACAGATAAAACAAATAATAAAAAAAAGGTTCATTTATTTCCTTTGTGTCATATAAACTCGTTTTGCCCCTTTATAGGACATCAATTATTTAGTATGTCTAACAGGCTTTACAATATAGGGTTCAGAGTAAAATGAACTAGACACAGGGAACGGGGAGTTTGTTCAACTTAACAGACCTGACTTTCCTCCAGTTTTATTTGTTAAACCTGTTCTACAAGGAGAAACTGGTTGGGTAGGTGCTCTGGAAATAACGTGTGACATTGCACAGAATGCCAAATTATCTGAGCTGGTAATTATGTTATTTCCTAAATTTTTCATATACAATTTAAAAGAAAATGGGAAACTTATTATGAAAAGGGGCTAACATCATAGCTAATTTTCAATGTTTTATTCAATGGTGTAAATTCAAAATAAGAAGTTCCCCTTTAAACAACCAAATTATGTTGCCAAAGAGCCTACTGGCAAACAACGCATTTAAAATCTAGTTGTTTTGGGGTGAGGGGAGGGTGTTTGAAACTTAATTGATAGATTTTTTCTGAACAATGAAACACTGTATAATTTGAAAGCTGTCACTGAAGTGAAAAGAACCAGAGATGTTCCCACTTTTTAAACAAGAACAAATATGCAGCGGCCCTGTGTTGCGACCCGGCAAGTATAACCGCAGCATGCTAAGGGGCCGATCGAGTGGCCCATGCTGTTAGGGCCACCCGATAGAAATTAATTTACAGAGGACCCGGTCAGTGCTGCGGCGATTTAACAGAGGGACCGGGTCCCCTGTGATGACATAACAGTGCTGGTCACTTCCTTCCTTCCTTCAATCACAGAGCCCGCACGGAAGGAATATAGTAGGGAGTCTGAGTGGGAACTCTGGCTCCCTCCCATCAGCCTGAGCCACTGGACCGCACCCTCGTGCACCTAAAAGGAAGGACACAGGAGGGTGACATTTTGCATGTGTCTCTGTGTGTGTGTGTATATGTATGTGTCTCTGTGTATGTATGTGAGTGTGTTTGTATGAGTGTGTGTGTGTATGTGTCTCTGTGTGTATGTTTGTATGTATATGTGTCTGTATAAATGTGTGTTTGTGTGTGTCTACATGTATATGTGTGTGTATCGGTTTGTTTCGGCATGGGGCAGGTGCCGAGGTCATGTGGGGTGGGGGTGGGGATGTGGGGGCAGGGCTCCATAGTTTCTAGTTACGCCTCTGGCAGTGATGGTATGGCTCTTCATGCAAAGGCAAATGGCAGTCCTCACTTCAACAAATATGCAATTGATCTCCACGAAAAAAGAGACACGCACTTACTTGTAATAAAATACTATAACTAAATACAATGATTAAACCTATATCAACAGAAACATGATGTAGATTATAAAAAATATACACACACACACACCATGTATAACAAAACTATGAAAAAGTAGCTATTTTTTACTGTTATTACTCTTGGAAATAATATGTTTTATCAAACGCAAGAGGCCATCATGATGTCTTTGGTGTTTACTGCTGAGTATATGCCAAGATTGCAGGCTAGATTTCACACACATTTTCTTTAATACAAAGAAAAAAATTTTATACTTGGAAATTCCTGAGTTGGCAGATAATTCCCATGATTTGCATAATCTGCAGTGTGCTCTACGCAAATGAGCAACTGCCAATACTGACCCTCCA